AGGGAAATAGGAAAGACAACATTTTTTGCTGGCTTTACTGGATCGATCGTGAAGCCCCCCCTTGAACTGTTTCTTGTGGAAAATTCCGAGTTTCTTTGCAGGTACCTTCAGAATATTTGTCCAGTGTTCTATTTGGATTCTTTGATTTTCTTTAAAAAATGTAACTCTCCTACCTTCTCGCTCACTTGCGTTTAAAGCATGTGTAGTAGATGTAGCACCTCAGATTTTAGCTTTCTGTCTTCTCACCGATGAGCACAAAAGGCCAGGTGGCAGCGTGATATTTCGGGAGGCGTGTTGGAGGATATTTGTTTCAGTGACTCTTCCGGGTCCATTAGCTTCTGTCCGTGGAGTAAGCTGGAGCCATGACTGGGGTTGTCTTCGCCCTTTTGTGACTGCCTTGGCTAAGTTGTGATAGCATTATGGCCTCCCCCGAAACAAAGCAATGGACAGGAAGCAGCTGTTCCTGTCATTGTGATCGTTTTAGAATACTTTAAAGGATGTTATCTTCTCCCTTAATCACTCATTGAGACATCTCTGCAAAACGCAAGGCTTCTTCCAAGAAGGTGATGTACTTCCTCCTGTCTGATAATGAGAATTGTGCAACTGGACGCATCTTCCTTTACCATCTGTGTCTCAGCAGCCTCTGGGCTTGAATTTCGACTCCACCTTAAAACTGGGACGTCTCGGTTGGCAGCTGGCTCCCGTCCTCTATCTAACTGGCTGCAGTTCTCAACTAGGGACCAGTTAAATGTGGCATCTTTGTCCAGGTAAAAAAATCAGAAAACGATTCCTTCTTTGTGATAATTTGGGGCTTTCTCAGTTCAGTGTATGGTGCACACTTGTAATAATTGGTCTGTTTCTTACTTATTTCATAAATTAAAACAAATAAAATACATAATAACTGGAAGACTAACTAAAAGGAATGTTTTCTTTAACATTTTGATAATGTGACCATGACTTTCCCATGATGGAACTTTTTGGATTCCACTAATAGAGAGGGTATTACTTTATCTTCCTTTATTATTCAATCTCTAATTCTACTGGGTCTCAAAAATAAGCAGACTCTGCTTATGACGATGAGTCCTATACATTTTATGTTGTGCACGTTACTATCTAAATGTTTTGTTGTGAGAGACCTCAAAACCGCTATAGAACAAGGCGAGGCACAAACACATGAATATGAAAATAGAGTAAAAGTAAAATTAAATTAAAATAAAATAAAGTAAAAAGATTAATGAAAATAAAGTAAAATGAGTTAGTTGATCATACTTCGGGATATGTCTATTCTGAATATAATAACTCAGTTTTCTTATTATTTCCATGATAGAAAACCACATTTTTCTCTTTTAAGGTTTCTTTGAAGCCATACAAAAATAGCATGACTACTTGTACTGGGTTAAATAGTGTTCTGCCAAAATTCCTATCCCCCTAGAACCTCAGAGTACGATGTTATTAGAAATAGGATCTTTGCAGACATAATTCAGATGAGGTGACACTGGATTAAGGTGGACCCTGAATTCAGTGACTGGTGTCCTTATAGGAGGGCCATGTGACGACACAAAGAGACACACAGAGGAGAAGACCATGCGAAGAAGGGGGCAGAGATTGGAGTGACGCAGCTAGAAGCCACGGATTGCTGGCAACCACCAGAAATTAGGAGACACATAGACAGAGGTTCTCCTGCAGAGCTTCCGGGTGAAGCCAACCTTGGTTTCAGGCTTCCGGCCTCCTGACTTGTAAGCAGGTAAATATCTGTTGTTTTGCGCCACCCCATTTCTGTTAATTTGTTACAGCACATAAATTGAGCAACTAAGTGGGTGCCCCATCAAAAACTGCCAATTGATACCCTTCAAAGGGGGTAATTAATTGTCTATAATAATCTAAACAAGAGGCCCTTTCACAATAATGTTAAACAAAAAATTCTCATAAAGAAAAGTTTTCTTTTTCTTTTCTGCCTTTTTTTCCTTCCTTCTTGTAAAAAATATACTGTGGTTCTATATAAAGTGATTTATCATAGTTGCATTTTGAGTAGCTTTGATCTCAACATTACATACGTAAATTATAGCCAAAGAAACTTACATAAATAAGGGGGATTAAACCCCATGCTTCAAACATGATACTACTCACAGAAAACAGAGATTTTTATAATTTATTTTCTGTCAACATCTACAACTGGCTTGATACACCCATGACATTGAGTTTCATGAACTTGATTACTCTTGAAAGATACTGAGAAGACAGATAAACAGTATTTGCAACACTTATGATAAAAGACTAATGCAATGTATTTCTTTGGTTGGTGAGCTTTCACGATATTGTGGGACATAGAGAAAAAGCGTAAAATAGAATGAAATAAAACGGAAGTAAGTGAAAATGGATTTTTTCACTGCATTTTTCTAAATCACGAGTGTATTTTATTTAGGATGAATCTATATACTTTGCATATCGAACAGACAAGTAAGTATATAATGAGTGTTGGGGAAAAATATTAATTGAGTAAATTATATTTACAGAAAAATGCCTGCAACCCTGTCCATAAAGGCATCATTCTGGTGTTCTAGCACCCTCTACTGGCCATTGGGCCAAATTACATTTAGCCTTTCCCCTGCTGCACAGTGGATGTTTTTATAAAAACTAAAAAAAATTCTTTTATTTGCTAAATCTGAAGAATCTGCTCATGAATAAAAATTATACTTAAAATTAGTACTTTATAATTCATGTGTTTGTGTAGAGGAGCTCTACCATCAGTCTGTGAGCTCCTCGTAGCTCTAGTAGTCAGTACACTGCTTAGCACACTATATGGACTCTGTAAGTGCTGTATAGATCATACGCTGTGGCAATTTGCATAATTCTGACAATATTCATTTATCATTAGTCTTTAAAGTTCTTTGTTTCATAAATATTACTACTGTATAGGTTTATATAAAATAGTAAAACAGTGATTTTCAACATAGTGATTTCATGTAAAATACTTGTTATTTTAACTTTAATCCACTTTAACAGTTTCAATGCTGGGTTTATAGTCACTTTGATTATCATTTAACCTGGGCATTTTTCTGGTCACCAGTTATTTTTGACTGCTTGTGCCTTATTAACTGAGGATGTTTATTGATCAGGCGGAAGACCAGAGGCAATGGTGGCTTCTGTCTTGAGTTTATTTGTTTCACGTAAACATAGCCCACAGGCTGATGTCATCTTACTGCTCCTTGCTGCCTAAGCTGTGAATATAAGTGGAGCAAACAGGTGCAGAGCCTTTTGAGGGAGCCATAGCACAGGGGACGCCGGTATTTCGGCATTTGGTATTTAGTTCTGACCAAAGGTGCTGATGGAATGAGAGATGAAGCCTTGGCCCAGTGAGAGGAAGAGAGAGAACCGGCCTAGGACCGCCCTTTGCGGCTCACCTTGGCTGTGAGCACAAAACTGAAAAAAGTTCCCATAAAAACATGTAACCATAGGACTTCCCTCAGCCAGTTTGGAGTTTGAATGAGAACTGTGCTGTCTCAGAAGCCCCAGCCAAACGTAACCTGAAACTGTCCCCCCCAAAAAAAAATACCCCCAACAACACGGGGGAGGGCGGTGGTGGTTCCAAGTGGCTAACAGGCAGAAGCAGGTCTGGAACCAGGGCTGTTGACAGCTCTTCTCATTCCCCTGACTCGGAGCGCGCAGGCTTGGGACCCGCGTTTCTGCGCGGTCGCTAGGTGGCAGGCAGGCGCCTCTCCCTCCCAGTCTCCCTAGTGGCTGATGTCTAGAGCCGCAGCTGGGCCTGCGGCTTCGGCTTTCCCGCTTCTCAGGGTCACCTCGCGCCTGGTGACTGTGCGGTGCCACGTGGCTGGCCAGGAATGCTGTTCCGACAGCCTTTTTGAAGCGCTTTTCCAGAAGCTGGACAACCACGGGGACGCATGGGCATCCCCCTGGGCCAGGGGGAGGACAGGCCGCAGGGACAGTGGGGGGCTCCCAAGAGCAAAATGGGAGTGGGGGCCTCAGGTAACAGATGTCCTTTCTGTCACTCCGCTATCGGAACACTTTCCACACATTTGTACCCCATCGGTGAGCTGCGTTGGTGTATCATGGAAGACTTGACCATCTTGCCTAAATGGGGGCCAAACCGTGGGAAAATGTCAAAAGCCCGCTTGCATTATTGCAACGTTAATGAAACGCCCCAGTGAGCCAACTGCCTGTGGCCTGTGCCCAGGTTCCGCTCTCGGGAACCTCACGGGTCTGCGGGTAGCTGCCCCCAAGCTCTCACCGAGCGTATCCCATGGCTGCGGAATTGCAACCCTGATCGCAGCCTGCTCCGGAATGTTCCCGCCCCAGGGCACTCCCATGGGTGCACTCGGTGCTCCTCCTTCCAGTTTCATCTAACGCCCTGGAAGCATCTACAGTGTATTGTAACCTTATACCCTTTGCTATAGTGGAGAGTTATGAAGCCTAACAGATGACACCAATACCCACTGTTGTGTTCTCGGGCGATCCTCACGTCCACAGCCGTACATTTAACCAGCTGACCCACCGGGGTAAAACAAACAAACAATTAAAAGTCCCTGTTGTACTTCAAGCTTCTCTAGCAGACTTTCAGGCCTGGTAGCAGATGGGAGGGTGTGTACGCACAGCTATGTTTGGGAAGGGGAAAGGGACGCCAGGTTTTGTAGAACTATTTTTCTTGTAAGGAGCCCGATTCCATTCACTTGGAGAAATAATATTTAATAAGTTTCCATATGATGACTCTGGACACAGGAGCGCCTGGTGGATGTGGCCTGGGTACCGAGCTGCCCTTCCCCACATGGCCCTCGGCTTCCGGGTCCACCACAGGCCGGAAGTCCGTCGCGTCCGGCGCCTCACATTCCAACTTCCGGTGGGCCAACTCTCACGTGGTGCTCGCTGTGTTCCCACGAGGCTACGCGCCCGAGGGTCCCGTGTGAGTGCCCGAGAACGCACAGGCGCCAGTACCTTCGCCCCGGAGGGGGGCTCCGGAAGCGCGGCCGCTGGGTCGGCCTGTTGCCATGGCCGCACCTACGGCTGAGACCGGCCTCCTGGCGTCGCCGTCGAGGAGGCGGCGGGTGGCATGGCGGCAAGGCCCAAGGTCCTCGCTACGTCCGGGAGGAGAGGCGGCCTTGAAGACCCCACCGCAGCCCCCCAGCCCCGGAGGGGCCGTACTGCGCTGGCTGCGGGGCTTCGTGTTGCCCACCGCGGCCTGCCAGGAAGACGAGGACTACTTCAACTATGAGATCCTCTTCCAGGACCTTGACCGTAACGGGGACGGGGTGGTGGACATCACTGAGCTGCGGGAAGGGCTGAAGAACTGGAGCTCCACGTTTGGCCTGCAGTCGGAGAAGGTGATTGACCGAGAGGAGGTGGCACCGGGAGTCCGGACAGATGTGGGGAGAGGGGGTAGCCAGACTTGCCCTCTCTGGAGCTGCTTTCAAAGGCCCGTGTAGGGGCTCTTTACGAGCCCCTCATGCCCAGTAATGCAGCCCCTTGAAACACAGTCCCAGCCTTAGAGTGACCAGAGCCTTTTTCTGTGCTTTTTGGGAGATGCTGAATGGGTTTCTGGGGACTCATTCAACGTTTACTGACCGTGGCCCAAATTTCAGGAGCTGCGTTTTGCCTTTGTGCACGTGGGCATAAAAGACCTCTTTAATCAGGACCTTCTCACCTCGAGACAGGCACAGACGGGGCCCCAGAGCTGCCGTCTCTTTAGGACACCGAAGGGTGGAGGGCGAGTCAGACCTTGAGCCATGGCTTTGCATGTCAGCTGACTGTTGAGTGCCCCGCCTGAATGAGGGATGTCTTCCTTCTCTAGACAGGTCTTTGACTCGATTATTTGCAAACTGTTTAGCCGGAAGTTTCAGGGTATCAGGAGAACATTATTCTATTTCCCCTGTATCAATGCCCCGTAACAGTCTTTAGACAGTGTACCAGTAAGATGTGTGAGTATGAAGTCCAAACATTCACATGGCTCAGGAAATTCCATGAGAGTTATGTTCCTGAGGAAGTAAATGAAAAAAATACACACACACACATAGACACACACAGTGGGTATATATATATATATATATATATATATATATATATATATACACACCCACTGTGAATATATATATATTCATGGATATATATATATTCATGAATATATATATTTTTTTCTTTTCATTTTGTGCTCCAAAACCTACTGCTCCAAGTTCATTTTTATCTCAGTTTCATCTACATGGCTTTATTTTTAGTCTCTGGTTTAACTTCCTTCTCTTAGCCCAGCCTCAGCCTCTCAGGTATCTCAGGCTTCTGTTAACCTGAGAAGGATGTCAGAGAAGAAACCTGAGAGGGAGGTGGGAATCAGAGAGGAACCACAGGGGCATAAGAACATTAGCATGAACACTGGTATAGGGTGTATACTGCACAGGAGGCAAACACAAGGCCTGCTGGCCAAATCTGGCCTTCCACCTTGTTTCTACCCGGTGGTAGCTTGGAACTCCTTGTCCCTAGTTAAGGAGTAGTCACATGTATACAGTTCTAAATTACATTCGGCTCTTTGAAGGCAACCACGAGGCTGATGTGGCCCCCGGTGAAAATGAGTTTAACGCCCCAGGTACTGTGTCTTCAGGAATGGTAGCCCATCCTGGAAGGTGATCGTCTCCTGGCTGTCACTGGGAAGGAAACCACGTATTTGTTCTGTCACAGCAGGCCAGCAGCTCCTGGGTTGTGCTGTGTGATAGGATTGGCAAGTCTCATGGTCATTATATGGCCCCTTTGTTGTAGAACAGGGTCTTCAGTGCAGTGTAAGGTATACACTCGCTAACCCTTGGGTTGTTCTAATGGCCGAGGCTCTGCCGCCTAGAGTGTGTGCTCGTGCTCTCTGATTCTGCTTCACTTTGACCTGAGAGGTGCTGTCCGTCACACGGATTGCTGGTGGGCTCACCCAGACTTGTGGCCTGGTGGTGGGTCTGACCGAACCCAACTCAGGATAGGCAGTCTGGCTGTGTGGTCATTCTGTAGTCAAGCACTCTCTACCATGGCCCTATAGAATGCCAGGAACTGTTAAAATTTTCTGCTGCAGATTTTTTTGGGTGGGGCTTACTATAAATTCCATGCAACATTTTTTCTACCACTGGCCCTGGAAGTACTTAATTGATGGTGGTAGACTGCCGAATCTTCACTGACTATTATTTCTCTCCCTCTGGAGTGCATGTATCTTAACAAGGCTGACAACATACTGCTACTTTGTGTTCATTTAGTCCAATTAACATGGTATCAAACTCATCAACCTCTTTTCCTTGCAAATCTGACTGCTCTCAGAGAAAGGTCCCACTGTATACCTGACAACCCAAATAGCCTCTTTGCAGTCCGAGGCACCTCTCTTTCCCTCATTCTCTCTATTGTGTCAGTGATCAAGTCACCTCCCACTTTCTGCAGACTCTTAGTGGCTTGTTGCTTTCCTGCTGCCTTCCCCCTAGTTCAGAGGTTCATTTCTCCACTGGGTTTTTTTTTTTGCAATAGTCTCTTTATTGACCTTTTAATTTTTTTTTGTTTTCTCTCCCCCATCAAAGTCCACCTCTGGAATAACCTCTCTAACACTGGTCATGGCATTCCTCTGCTCAAAATTTGTCAGCAGAGCGCTGTTACTTACAGCAGTATTTCCCAGCTTCGTGCAGTTTTCTATAATTAAGAACTGATTGTACTATTATTTACCTATTATTTTGAGTAAATACATTCATTTACATGTCAAGAAGTTATTTAAAAAGTAAGACATTGACCACTACTATAGTTAGAAAACTAGTACATTAAAAATAAGCATAAACTAGCCCCGGCTGGTGCGGCTCAGTGGATTGAGTGCCAACCTGAGAACCAAAGGGTCACTGGTTCAATTCCTAGTCAGAACACATGCCTGGGTTGTGGGCCAGGTCCCCAGTTGGGGGCGTGTGTGAGGCAACCGCACATCGATGCTTCTTTCTCTTTCTCCCTCCCTTCCCCTCTCTATAAAAATAAATAAAGCAAAAAAATATGTATCAGTATGTTAACATGCTGATGTTAAAAAAAGCATAAACTAAACAAAATAAAAATAAATCCGTGTTATTGATTTCTGACTAAATACTGTATTGTCTGAGAAAGCTGACCCTGAGCCTTATGCTTTGATTTTTTAAAAAAGTTGGTAAGTAGTAAGGCTTATTAACACAAAACTGAGACGTTCTCTGTGATATAATCAGAAGGATTGAAAGGTAATTGAAACAGGAATAATTTTCTCACACTGCGATTTACTGCTATTTAGTTCCATTTCCATGTAAGAAGCATATTTCACTCATTGGGAAATACTTGGTGGGAATTGATTTGAAATTCTTCTTGTGGTCTGTAACTCCTCTCATGCTCTCCCCACCTTCCTTATCTCCCACTTTTCTCCCTTGTGTTTTGCCCTTAGCAAATGGGAACTATGTAGGGTTGTTATGAAGATTAAATGTGTTAATATGTATATAAAATGCTTAGAAGTAAGTACTTAGTGAATAGTAGCTGTTGTTGTTATGACTTTCATTATTACTGTGTTTGCTGTAGTTTATGTACGTTCTGCCTGCTTGCAGATACTGTCACATGTTCTTGGAATAGCTTTTCCCATTTGTCTGCCCACTTAATGCCTTTTTTTCCTGCAGTCTCGGTGCGAGCACTCTTCCTCTGGGAAGGTGCTCCCGAATCCCCCACGCCTCCACTGTGCCTTGAAGACGTTCCCGTTAGGTCACCTAACACGCTCTCGTTGGTTCTGTGAGTGGTCTCTGCTCGCCTGTAACTTCCTTCAGGGCACGACTGTGTCTTCTTGTCTTTCTATTCTGAGTGTCTAGTCCAGGGCCCACCTCTCAGTATTTCTCAATTCAGCAAATACTGATTAAAGGCCTTTGTGTGCCATACTTTATGCTGGGTATTGATGGTACAAAGATGAACAAGACATGGCCTGTGCCCTTGACATAGGAGTCTACTGGTGATATGCAATTTAAAATTATGATTATTATTTTTTTACATACAAAAGCCTAAGACCCCAGTGAGACTTGAACATACACTCTTACTTTCATAAGGCCTGGTCTGAAACGATGAAGCAGTGGGTCATACTAGAATTTCACATACTTTATCTCATTTAACTAATAGAGTGTGAGGTCTCTGATGGCAAGAACTATGTGTCTTAGTGTCTTTATTCTTTCAAGGTACTTGGCATTCATTGATAACCTCAGGTAAGTACTTCTCAGCTCCACAATTATTTGGAATGACATGGTGGCTATTGACTCTAGTATTACACGGATTAAAATAAAGAAGATTGCTTAATGTACTTAGCCTTGTAGCTGTGATGGAAGAACCAGGCCAGGGGCTGCTGATGGAAATCAGCACTAGGGAAGGGCCCCCGTGTTCGCCGGGGCTTGGCTTGCAGTGCGTCTCTGCCATGGTTTCTTCTTTCTTGCAGGACATTTTTAAAGCTGGAGATACCAATGCTGATTCAGGATTGGACTTCGAAGAATTTATGCGATACCTTAAAGACCATGAGAAAAAAATGAGGCTGGCGTTTAATAGTCTGGACAAAAATAATGATGGTGTGTATGTGTGTGTGTTTTATTCACAATTAGCTTAACCTTTAGTCAGTACTAAGGGGTAGGTTTACCAGCCTTTAATTCCTGCTCTCAAAAGATTCAATTCTGTTGCTTTTTAGCAGAATTTTTTAATTTCTAAGAGTAACGTATAAACTATATTAGTATTATAATTTCTGTGTGGTTACTATCTTTTTAATGAAATAATTTTTGCCCTCTGGATGTATAATTTCTTGGCCTAGTGAGTAGATCTCTCCAGTCTTTTGCAGTGTATGAGCTGAAAGTGTCCCGTGGTTTTAAAAATGACATTTATTATTTTCTTACTGACTCTGAAAATCTTTCAGTTACAGGAAAGTTAGATAACACCAAAAAGCTCTGAAAGAAAGTAAAAGTTACTTGTAACCCTGCTGTCTAGCGATCAGGTTTAGCATTTTTATGTTTCCTTTTAGACTCTGTGTCTGTTTTTTTCTTGGTTTCTTTCTCTCTCTTTGAATGAAATTGCAGTCACACTGTATGTATAGTTTGCTGCCCTATTTTTTAATTTGTTATAAGCATTTCTACTTCATTTAATGTTTTTCACACACATTTTTAATGACTCTATAAAGTATTCCACTTGTGAGTAGACTTATCTAATCAGTCCTGTATTGTTCGATATTTAGGATGGCTCCAATTGTTTCCTCTTACACGCCGTGCTGCGGCCAGTGTCCCCGCTGAGGTGCGGGGAGAGGTGCACTCTGCTTCCCTTCGGTGCAGACCCTCAAATCCGAGAGACCGAATGTGGGCACAGAGTGCCACTTCTGCAGCCATCTCGGACTAACCTGCCCCTGTTAATCAGAACCCAGCTGTACCCTATTTAAGAAACACGTTAATATTTAGAGAATAAATATTTAGAGAATAATATTTAGAGAATAGAGAATACTCTTCCCGAGACAAGATGGAAATCCCAAAGTAGCATACCGATTAGCAATATAGATCTTTTCATTTCTGCCTCGATTGGCCCACCTGGGACCTCGTAGCTCACCTCCCAGAGGCCTGCAGAGTCACCATTCTGTAGAGCTGGCGTCCCAGGTCCCACTGGCTTCATTGGTTTTGAGCACCTGAGCTGCGACATAGGTGTGGAGCTGAGCTGTGGTCACTGGGGCTGCTGCCCACCTGGGCCCGAGAGCTCAGGTGCTAGCGGCCCTGCCGAGGTCATGCTTGGACAGAGCTGCCTGCTCTGGTCGTTGTCATTGCGGCCGCCTCCGTGACTGCCTCTGTGTGTGGCTCAGCCTGTTTACCTCCCCGAGGATGGTTTTGTGGGTGGGACAGAAAGTACCTCCTCTGTTATCGGTTGAATCGTGTCTCCCCAAACAAAGATGTGTTGAAGTCCTGCTTCCCTGCTTTAGATGTGACCTTATTTGGACATTTGGGGGAAAGTGGGTCACAGAGACAGATGTGCACGGAAGAGGATGATGTGAAATGGCCATCTGATGATGGAGTCGGGATTGGAGCGTTGCGCCTATAAGCCAAGGAACACCTGAAGCTTCCAGCAGCCAGGAGAGAGGCACAGGCCAGATCCTTCCCCAGCGTCTTCGGAGGAAACTGGGCACTGCTGGCACCTCGGTTCCAGCTTCCTGGCCTCCAGAACTGTGAGACCACGCGTTCCCGTATTTCTAAGCTACCTAGATGGTGGTCTTGTTACAGCAGCCCTAGGACCTGATGCACTCCTCTCTCTTGGGATGCTTGCCTAAGCAGAAGCCTCCTGATACCAGAACGTTTTGGGCCTCAAAGTGCAGCCTTTTCAGTTCATGTGAATGTGCAGCCACTTCCCCCCTGAGTGTGCAAGGGCTTCCAGCGTGGATAGGATACATCTGGAGTCGGACGTGCCTCCTTGACCCTGGAGCGACATGTCCCTCCATGTTCTAGGACCAGCTCTGGCTCACTGCCTCAGCCTTTTCTTTCCCCTCTAGTCTTGCTTGACATCATCGGTCCTCTTGGGACTCTTGCGTTGACGTGTGTTAAACATCAGAGCAGGCAGAACCTCATTTTTAACGCCCCTGCTGCTCCCCAGGAGGCTTTCCGGGCCTCATACTCAGTGGAGCTGAGAGGATGCACGTGGGCCGGTGCAGGATCAGACTCGCCAGCTGGAAGCATCAAGCCCGATGTGGACTGATCGGCTTGCTTCTCTCATCAGGAAGCACCTGAGCCCCTGCCCCTGTTCAGCCAAAATGTCCGTGGACTGCTATTATAAATATGTGAAGGAAGTAATTATTAAACATTATTTCACCATTACGAGTCTTTTTGTGGTTGGAGTTTCTGGATATTGAGGAAATAGCGGGAAAAGAACTAACACTTATTGGACTCTTCCTGCCTGCCATGTCTGGTCTAGCTCTTTATCTTCTGTATCGCACTATTCTCTCAGAGTAACTGTTTTACAGATAAGAACAGCAGGGCTAACTTTGCTTTCTGTTGGCTGCCCCGTGAGTCAGAGCTCCCAGGATTTATTCCCTTATGTAGCCCTGAACCACACTGACCTGGGCTTGGCCCTTGGACTTGCTTGGGCCATGAGGACATTAACAAGGCTTGTCAAGTACGTGCACATTCGGACTTGTCCTCTTGGAATGCTCCCTCTTGAACACTCTAAGCCACCAGAAGAGAGGACTAGCTACCCATCTGGAAAGGCCACATGCAGAGAGATGCCCATTCAGCCCCCAGCTGCTCTGCAGGCCCATCCAAAGTGACAGACGTGTAAGTGGAGCCATCTCGGACTTCAGGCAGACCTCCATGTAACTGAATGCACGTGAGTGATGCAAGGCAAGACCTGGAGAAGAAGCCACAAGTTGATCCAAGATTGCACACTCGTGATCAAAGACAAGTTAAAGATACACGGAATTTATGGAAGCTTTTCCACATCACATATTTTTCAACCAGGTGGCACCAAAGTGGATTGTTTTTAACATGAAAAAAGTTGTCCTCGTATTTTAGAAGACTGAGTATCCTCAACCATTTGACACCAGAGAGGAATCCAAGATATTTTGGACTTGGGGAGTGACATTAGGTACAAGTTTTAGACTTTGAGGAGGATATGGAATACTTAAAATTTCCTGGACAGCACCCAGCAGTGTGAGATTGAAATGCACAGTAGGCGTGTATCAAATGGGTTGTTTAATTTGAGTTATTTAACATAAGATGTGGTTGTGTTAAAAAGAGAGTGGTGTTGTGCTTCAGGTATGTTTCCTTCTAAGCTTTCCTAATAAAATGCGGAGTGGCCACATTAGCTTTGTACTTCACTCCAAGTAGGTACAATACTCACCATCTGTCTACAGTCTTTTTTGGGGGGGACCCTTGGGGCCAGATGTGTTTAGATACTTAAAATTTGGATTTTTGGAAAAGCAATACAGTGCCTACATGACATACTATTTAATGCTCCAAGTGGGGTGTGGGGTCCACTGTGTAACTACATACAGTTGACATCAAAGATCAGGGGTTTGGAGGTCACCGACCCCATGCAATCAAAAATCTAACTTTTGAATCTTCAAGAAGTCGACTAGAGTTATCCCTTTACATCCACTGATTTAACCAACTGTAGATTGAAAACAATATTTTTGATTCGTGCTTATGAAACTGCGGTTGGGAATGTGAAAATACTATTTTCAGCTACAGGTTGGTTGGTCCCGGGGACACAAAACCCACAGACACGAATTCCCTGTTGTGTTTATTGAAAAACGTCTGTGTGTAAGTGAACCCACACAGTTCAGCCACATATTGTTCAAAGGTAAACTCTACCCGAATATTCCTTCAGTGAAACAAGTGAATGATAAGGCTGAATTAGACAAATAATTGACTGAAACTAACTTCACATCAGTTAAAGGCATGTTTTGCCACCAAATAAATTTTGGTGCCAAATTTGCAAAACGTTATATATATATTTCATTTTGGAATGTAAAGCCCTTTTTAATTAAAGTATAGCTGGCAAAGTGTCTCTTAGTTCTAGAGCTTTTTTAGTCTCTGGGTTGTGAATAGTGGTGACAGGCCTGTAAAACACATGGACTCTTTCAGACTATTGTGTTCTAAGTATGTTTTGCCTTGTTATCCTCTCAGATACTTTAACTTGACCTTTTTTCACTTTTTTTAAGGAGTAATAGACATTTCAGAACTAATTGCTGCTTTGGAATCACTGGGTGTACATGTTTCTGAAGCTCAGGCAAAAAATATTCTACAAAGGTCAGCGTTATTTTTAATAGTTTTCACTTTTGTTTAATATTCCACGCCAGAAACTGATTTCTATAAATGTAGCACCCCCTCCCTCCCTCCCTCTTTCCCTTCCTCCCTCCCTATTTCCCTTCATTCCCAGATTCCAACATCGCTCAGCCACAGAATCTCCATGAAGCTCACAGCCCATAGTAAATGCTGTTAGTAACCACGTTCACCAGACTGACAGTCACGCACAGCTTGGCATTTGGCCATGTATACGGAAGACTGTATAAAGTTTCACAGTTGTTTGTAGCGAGAGGACAAGTTCTGCACCCGTTATTTCATGTTGGCTGGCACCGGACAGCGTACGGATCTTTTTGTTGGTAGAGTGGAATTTGTTTTGTAGAATTTTCACTGAGAAAAATGCAATTGAGAAAGCATTTCACTTAATCTCACCTTTTTACTCAGGCTGTAAAGAAAGAATGTCTAATGTATTTTTTAATTTGGAATGCTTAAAAGTTAAGTCGGTCCTCAATTTCACATGGTAAAAGTGAGTCTTTAAATTCATAAATAAAAGGTTATTTGATTTCTTTTCTTTTTAAATTGAATTTATTGATTAATAGAATTATATAGGTCTCAGGTATACAATGCTACAAAACATCATCTGTGTATTGTATTATGTGTTCATCACCCCAAGTCACATTTCCTTCCATCATCATTTATTCATTTATTCCCCTTTACTTCATTCTGCCGCCTCCTCCCCCTTCCCTCTGGCAGTCATCATACTCTCTCTGTGTCCATGAGTCTCCCTCCCTCCCTCCCTCCCTCCTCTCTCTTTCTCCCTTCCTCTCTTACTTCCTTCAATCCTTCATCCCTTCACCCTTCTCACCCAGCCCCTAACAATAAAAGATTATTTTAAAGTTGATTTTAAGAGCTATAAGTAAGGAGGAGGTCAGAGGAAAACTACTATCAGAAGAATCAAAAGATGCGAGGTTCATCTTCAGCTAATATTTATTTATTCATTCACTGAACAAACATTTACTCAGTGCCCGAGATATCAAGGTGACTTTAAATGCTTTTCTCTTTAAAAGATCACAGGCATGTGTGAGAGAAATACAAGTGAACAATTAAAAAGCAATGCAGCCCTGGCTGGTATGGCTCAGTGGACTGAGTGCTGGCCTGTGAACCAAAGGGTCACCATTTGGATTCCCAGTCAGGGCACATGCCTGGGTTGCAGCCCAGGTCCCCATAGGAAACATACCAGAGGCAACCACATATTGATGTTTCTCTCCCTCTCTTTCTCTCTTCCTTCCCCTCTCTGAAAAATAAATAAAATCTTAAAAAAAAATAAAAGCAATGCACAATAAATTCCATCAGAGGGGCAGTCTACAAAATAATCAGTATTCCTTAAAACTTTCAAAGTTCACAAAGACAAGGAGAGTATGAAAAGCTGTCACAGCTGAGAGGAACCTAAGGTGACATGACAGCTACATGGAAATCCTTAGAGAAGGGACATCACTTAAAAACTAAGGAACTCTGAATAAAGTATGCACTTCAGTTAATAATAATATATCAATATTGGTTCATTAATTGTGGCAAATGTACCATAATTATGTAAGATGTTACCATTAGGCAACACTGGGTACAACTCTATTATATTCTCAAATCTTCTAAAAAATAAACCATGTCTGTTAAACTATGAAAGTACAGCAATATGCATGAAGGCTTCTATAATTTGCAAGAGGCATTTAATTCATTTTTATAACGGAGCCAACTTCATTATAAATGTTGTAAGTACTATGTTTGTTTGTTTGTTTGATTTCAGCATTGATAGTGATGGGACAATGACCATCGACTGGGATGAGTGGAAGTACTACTTTTTACTCCACCCCGCAGCAAGCATCGATGAAATCGCTGGTTTCTGGAAGCGGTCCACTGTAAGATTACTTCCTATTTCACTCCATTGTTACTTGCTTTAAGTGTTATAGCTGTTAGTACAATCACATAATCCTTATAATACTTCCAGCCTCAGTGGCTAAAGTAGTCTCTCCTAATAGTGTTTTACTAATTTAGCAAGGAGTTTAGTGTTGTCTATACAAACACAGCTACCTCGATGGCTTTGTTCACTAAAACCTAGAATTTAAGATAGATACCCATTCGCTGAAAGGGCCCTACTTAGTGTTGAGAATAAATTATTCTGATCCATTTCACTGTCCTAGAAAAGTAGCAAAATAATGTACTTTATTCACAGATATGATGTACTCAGTTTGGGCTTTGGTCATAAGAAATGTGAAGTCAGATTAAGGCTCAAAATTTTAGAATCAGAATGGATCAAATATGTTACCTCTCTGCTCTTTTTATATAACCACTTGCCTCAAAGTTACAAGGAACGAGTGAGATTTTGTGATTCGAGACTTTTTTTTCTGGCAGCGGGTTAAGTTGGTCATTTGTTTGTGACATTTGCCTATTTGAATCTCCTTTTGACTTCTCACCTCCTCTTTATGACAGTGCCGGGGGTGGGGCGTCCGGAGCACAGGCATGGGGTCAGACTGTCCAGGTTTGAACCTCATGTCTGCCACCCACTAGTTATAGGACCCCTCTGTGCCTCAGTTTCCTCAGTTATACACTGGGGATAATAATGGGAAGAGTTCTGCCCTGGCTGGTGTGGCTCTGTGGGTTGAGTGCCGGCCTGTGAATCAAGGGGTCACTGGTTCTATTCCCAGTCAGGGCATGTGCCTGAGTTGTGGGCCAGGTCCCCAGTTGGGGGTATGGGAGAGGCAACCACACATCAATGTTTCTCTCCTTCTCTTTCTCCCTCCCTTCCCTTCTGTCTAAAAATAAATAAATAAAATCTTAAAATAATGGTAAGAGTTCTGAGAATTAAATTAGTGTATTCAGAAAAGGGCTGAAAAGGTAGTATATGTGTTCAGTAACTGTTACTTACATGACAGGCACTTATTCTAATGTTTTACCTGTGTTCTTGAATATGTATATATTCTTAGGAATCATACAGTGTCATTTCATGGGTGTGCTTTTAATTTACACAGATAGTATCATGCTAAAGGCCACATCTGATTTCTTAACATTGTTCACAATACATTAAGATTTTAAGATTTGTTACACATTTATTTAGTTTATTGCTTCTAACTTCTACATAGTATGTATTTAACACATTTTCCTTTATCCATTACAATAGTAATTGAAATCTAGGTTTTCTCCAACTCCCCAGAAAGAAAGAAAGAAAGAAAGAAAGAAAGAAAGAAAGAAAGAAAAGTTCTTTTTTTTTCTTGTGTATCTTAAAGAACGTCACCCAGATTTCTGAGTCAAAAGGAGCATGCATTTATAAATTTTACCAGGGCATCCAGTCTTAATTTACTAAAATACCATGCAGCTGTGTTATTTCCCAGAATGGCTTGCCATGCCAGCTCACTCAGCAACGCAGGAAGCTTCCTGTTCCTCTGTGCATTACTGTAGTCAGTCGGTACTGTCCAGTTTTCTGACGGTACTTGCCATACTTGGGCATGGTATCTTGCTGGGTATACTTGCCATACCCTTGGGCATGGTATCTTGTTGGGTTAATGTGCATTTCATTGATTCCTCGTGCACTTTATACAATACTCTTCATAGAAATCTTATATGTTCACATGTGCTCTTCTATGCATTGTCTGTTTATGTCTTCGTTTTCCAGATTTATGGGGTGTAATTGATACACAACGTTGTAAATGAAGGTGTACACATGGTGTTTGATACACTCGTGTGTCGTGAGATGATTGCCACAGTAGGGTAGTGAACACCCGCCTTACTTCACATAATTTCCGTTTCTACTTTGTGCTAAGAACGGTGGAAGTTTACTCCCCTGGCCACTTTCAAGTCTGTAACAAACACTGTGTTGTGAATTCTAGTCGCCCCACCGAACACGAGATCTCTAGAAGTGAGTCATCTCATGACTGACGTTTGTCCCCTTCGACCGACATCCCTCCATTTCCTCCAACCCCAGCCCCTGGCAACAGCCATTCCGCTCCCTGTTTCTATGAATTCGGCTTCTTTAGGTCCCACACACGACTAATGCGGTGCACTGTTTGTCTTTCTACATCTGACTTATTCTACTGCTCATAATGCCCTTAAGGTCCATCCAGAAAAAAGGAAGTGGCAGGAATTCCCTTTCTTGTGGCTGAATAATAAACCATTGTATAGGTGTATGTTCATGTACATGTAGGTGTGTGCACATTTCCGTGTGCACATCCCCCCATGTGTATGTCTGTGGGTGCATGTGTATATGTGGGGGTGCAGACACAGCACATGCACACGTGTACACATATACAGCTGTGCAGGCATAGACATGCATGTGTGGGGTGTGTGTGTGTGTACACTCAGTCCACACGTGCACACATGCATACATCCATGTGGGCATGTGTGTATATGTGGGGTGTGTATATGTGTGTAATATATCTCACATCTTCTTTTCCCCATATCCTTTACAAAACTTGTTATTTCTTGTGGGTTTTATTTGTGTGTGTGTGTTTTTTTTTGGTAATAGCCATTCTAACAAGTATGATGTAATAACTCATTGTGGCTTTGATTTGCTTTTCCCTGATGATCAGTGACGTGGAACATCTTTTCATATATATGTCAGACATTGTGTGTCTTCTCTGGAAAAATGTTTATTTAGTTCTTTTAGCCACTTTTTCCTTGGAGTGTTTTTGTTGTTGTTGTTGTGTTGAGTTGTGTGAGGTTTTTATATATTTTGGATATTAACCCTTTATCTGTTATGTGATTTGTAGATGTTTTCTCCTATATCATAGGTTGCCCTTTCATATTGCCGATTATTTCTTTTTGTGCAGAAGTTTTTAATTTGATGTAGTCCCACTTATAAAATTTTTGCTTTTGTTAATTATGCTTTTGGTTTCAAATCCAAAAAAATCATTGCCAAGGCCAATGTCAAGGAGTTTTATTGCTGTATTTTATTCTAGGAGTTTCACAGTTTAAGATATTATCTATTAAGATAATGAAGTTTAAGAGTCTTTAATCCATTTTAAGTTAATTCTCGTAAGTGGTGTGATCCAGGGGTCTGGTCTCATTCTGTGCATGTGATCCAGTTTTCCCAGCACACTGTGTTGACGAGACTGTCCTTTCCCATTGAGTATTCTTGCCCCTGTTGTCAAATATTAGTTGGTTGTATATGTGAAGATTTGTTTCTGGATTCTCGATTCTGTTCCATTAATTTATGTGTCTATTTTATGCCATTGCCATACTGTTTTGATTACCATAGCTTTGCAGTATAGTTTGAAATCAGTGTGGTGCCTCCAGTTTTGTTCTTCTGTCTGAGGATTGCTTTGGCTATTCTGGGTCCTGTGTCTCCATGTGCACTTTAGGATTTCTTTTCTGTTTCTGTGAAAATGCCATTGGAATTTTGATGGGGATTGCATTGAGTCTGTAGATGGCTTTGGGTAGTAGGGACATTTTAACAATATTAATTCTTCCAGTCCATGAACACAGCATATGTTACTATTTATTTGTGTCTTCTTCAATTTCTTTCATTAGTGGGAACTGATTTTGCATTAAACCTATATTGGAATGCATTCTTAAACATCATGCGGTCTAGCACAAGTGCGAAGGACATAGTCAATCTCCATTAACAGGAGATGAGATATGAAAAAAAAATCTTGTGGTTTTGGTCTTTGTAAAAAATTATCCTCTTAATTTATGAAGCACTTTTCTCTGTTGCCTACTTCCATTTTTACACTGTGTCAGATCATTGACATAGGGGAGAGCATAGCTATTCCAGATGACTTCACTGAGCAGGAGAAGCGTTCTGGAGACTGGTGGCGGCGTTTGGTGGCAGGAGGAATAGCTGGTGCGGTTTCCCGGACGTGCACGGCGCCTTTCGACCGCCTGAAACTCATGATGCAGGTAGTTGGCTCACACGTTCACTGGCCCTTACGCTTTCAAGTAGCTTGAAAAAGCCTTGATAATATTCAAAGGCAATGTTTTGGCACATTTCATAGTAGTCATTACAGTTGTACATTTTTCTGAAAAAGTAAATTATTTTACAATATTTTCAATATTAAAAAATTTCCTAATTTTCTTAAAGATGTTTCTATGCTATTTGAATTAATTTTTATTTGAAATAACAGAACCACTCTATTAGAAGTTTTTTAGAAATGTTAACTAAATCTATTAAAGAAGGATAGGACACCATTAATCTAATTTATTAGTTACTTCTAGTCTCTGACACCTGCATAGTAGAATGGTTCTACTCTATTATTTAAGTATTAAGAATATTTCTTAAATTGGAATAATTTCTAAATAATTCAATAATTTCTAAAAATTGGAAAATAAGTTACTTAGAATGTATTATTAATATTTCATTAGAGGTAGTATTGTCTCATTACCTTTTATTTTACTGGGTAATGGATTATTAATAGTAGTTATAAAATAGTGAATGGTTTAATCTGTTAAAAATTAAATTTAACATTTGCTGAATACTTTTTATGCAAAGATACAAAAGTGAGTACTACACTATGTAGTGAATTTAAGTTTGTAGTTAAATTTACATACTTTGGTGTTTTATTGTCTTTTGGGTTTTTTCTGACATTGTGACATTCGGTAATGGGTTATAAATAGTTTTCTTTATTGATGTCTGATATTATTATTCTAAGATCTTACTTTTGTCTAAGAAAAGCTTAATTTGGACTGACTCGGACTGAGAGGTGGGAGCTGTCAAAGGGGGCCATCTTCCACCTCTTGGCGATCTGTTCCCAGTATTTTTCTTTGTCTTCGTCCATTTTCCTGGCCAGATTCTGCAGCCTCTTTATGCCCAGCCTCTTCATTAGTCATATTACGATGCTGTTTCTTCAAAGTGATTGCCAGTATTTGTGTTGGGGGACATGTGGGGGAAACATGGGGGACACATGGGGGACACAAGGAGTCTGGGGGACTTCGGTCCTGGGTTCACGCCTGCTTTGTTCTGGGGCTTTCTGACAGCGCACTGATGGCCATTGTCATCATCAGAGTGACTGGGATACTTGCAGGTTCTCTGGCTCTCGGGGCCCCAGGCGAGAAGGCACAGCCGTATCAGTTAGTCCAGGAATATCTTTCTTCTCTTTTTTTTTCTAGGTTCATAGTTCAGGGTCAAGAAAAATGAGATTCATTGGTGGGTTTGAGCAGATGGTAAAAGAAGGAGGAATTCTTTCTCTTTGGCGAGGAAACGGTGCAAATGTTTTTAAAATTGCACCTGAGACGGCTGTCAAGATTGGGGCTTATGAACAGGTAAAATGCTATTGTCTGTGGAATTTATAACAAAGATCAGATTTTAAATTCAATGTTGAAAATGTTCAGACTGTCACGAGGGAGAAAACTAGAGCGTTCACAAGCGATACATGTCAATTTAAATATAAGCGACATTGTTGTTTCTCATTGGATTACCTTTCATTCTCATATTGCTTTTGTTTATAAAGGATGTTCCGTGGATTACAGTATATTTTCATAACTGATGAGCATTAGTAGTTTTTTGAATTTCAGTGTCATAGTGCAAAAGGCCCTCATAAAACATTCCAATATAGGTTTCCTTTTGAGCAGTTTGTTTTATTTAACATTTGTTCATCTGATTTAGGATTTTAGTTTTTCTTAAATAATTCACTCTGAGGTGAGCTTTGCACATATTTTCACATAGTATAAGTTATTAGCATCACGTCAGAGTCCACGAGCCCTCTGCACATCTCAGGTTTTCGTCCTCTGCACTGGCCTGGCTCTGACAGCTTTGGAGAAGGCCCCGGGGCTGAGATGCAGACAGGTGCAGCCTCAGCTGCGTTCTGTCTGTGTGAGTGCCCGGGGCTGTGCAGGTGCTGTGCGGGGCACTGGGGGTGCTTGCCGTGGCCGGCTCCCTGCCTGCTGAGGTTGGGGGGCTTGCTTTGGAGATCAGTGACTCAGGGTTGAGCAGGCTGTGCTTATGGATCTTCAGCAGTACCCTTTTCCCCCCAAAACTCTTTATACTTCCTGTCTTTTTGCCTTCAGTCAGTATCGTGTGAAGTAACCACATCCAAAGATCTCTCTTCTGATATTTGGTTTTCTAGCTCCTGCGCTCAGTCATTCCCTTTCTGTCTCGTTTTCGTAGGAGGCTAGATTGATGTCCACTGGAGCTATAGGCTGAAATCAGATGACGACAGCCTTAATCTGAATTTTGCAGATAGGCATGCTCTGTAGGACAGCCTTCTTTCCTTCTGTGCGGTACAGAAGCAGGTAGCTTCTCCAGCCTAGAAGCCCACATTCCTCGACAGTCAAACCCTATTCCCTTCCACCTCTGCTGCAGACTGGCTTTGGAGAAGGCCCTGCGGCCGAAAGGCAGCGAGATGCCTCGCTCAGTCTCATCCATCTTGCTAACAGCAGAAGGAGTGGGCAACACTGACCGCATTCTGCGATTTACAGTCCGTTTTCCTAGGACTTCAGTCTCAGAAAGCATGTGGTCTGCCCTCCCAGCGACCCCCGGGGGCAGTGTCGTCAAGCATGCCCACCAAGCCTCAGATGGATCCCGCCTCCTTACACTGCCAGGTCTGTCCTGCTAACAGAAGAGCCAGGGCCACGAGTTTTAGGTTTTAGTTATGACAGCACCCCACATCTGGTAACTGGTTTCTGTCCATGTTAGGGTTCATTCTAAGCTGTTGTAACAAAGGGTTGCCAAAATACAGAAGCTGAAATACGACAGAGGCAGGGACCAACCAGGGCAAACAGCGTCTTAAAATCTGGCTTCAGAGGTCATGCCCACCTTCCCTTTCCCAGGTGGAAGAAAGAGGACTCCAAGCGTCTTTAAGGAGATGTTTCAGAATTTGCATAACCCACTTCCCCTCACATCTCATTAGCCAAAATGAGTCACGTAGCCACCCAGCCTCGCTGCAGTGGAGGAGAGGGAAATGCAGTTGATAGCTGAGTCAGCTCCATTACTAAAAAGGAGAAGATGGTCACAGGCATGGGGAGCAGACAGCAGTGCCTGCCACACTTGCTGATGGGAAGCCACTGGTTTGGGGACCCGAGAGGTAGTTCTTAGGGAGGGGCTGAGTTGTACCACTCAGCCACCACTGGGAGAGGCAAGTAGGGCGGGGCACAATGATCTGCTTTGTGGGTTCCAGATGAGTTTCCAGTTTCAATGTTGTGAGACTGGACTGCCTTTAGTTTCCGTGAAGCCGGACCTTTACATGGATATTTCTGTTTTCCTTATTTCCGCACGTGCTTTTGCAGTGACCTCCCCGTGTCTTGAGCTGATCAGGGTAAACTGCTGTTCCTTGTAACAAAAAGAGCCTTTTACATTACCGTTACTATTCCTGACTATCCAAGTAGCCGAAAAATATTAAGTGCCTTTCTTGCGGAAGATGTGGGGTTGAAAAGAGGTAAAGAATGCCACTGCGCCACTTTGTGTCCTGTGTGTGGCTGTTACGAAAGAGAGCTGCACTCACAGTGTGCTTATGTGGTTTAATGTTGCCAACTTACTCTGCAGAACAGAGGGAAAAGGTGCATCTTATTGCATAGAAATTAAAACCACGTATTCTGCCAGATACTAATATCAGGTGTCTGGAATAATTTTTAAAATAGTTTTATAGTACTAATTAGTGTTCTAAACTTAGAAACAATGTATATTCCATTTCAGTAACATTGTACATCCCACCACTTTTGTTTATGCAGTATAAGAAGTGGCTTAGCTTTGACGGTGCTAAAATAGGAGTTATTGAGAGATTTATATCTGGTTCATTGGCTGGCGTAACTGCTCAGACCTGTATTTACCCCATAGAGGTATGTATTTTTATTTTAACTAAAGTAATGCCTTTAATTAGAATGATAACTTTTAAGAAACAGATCCCCCATCAAGGCAGACCTTCGGAGGTGGTGAGCGGGGAGAGAGGGCACCGTGCTGGAAGGCGCTGTGCTTCCAGAATGGGCTTTTCTGAGTCACAGGGCCGGCAGCGCAGGTCGGAGACCAGAGCAATGCCCCCTGACTGCTCCAAGGTGGCTCCGCCAGGACTACCCCGTCAAGGTGGGGCTGATACTTGAAAAAACACCTGGGTTGTTTTGGGGAGTTATTTCTCCAATGTACTATGTAGGGCCTCTTAACTTAAATTAATGGAGTTAGGAGGGCAAGCAGTGAGGTATAGCAGAAGAATTACACAGAGCTCAGGCATATTGACCAGGGGCAGCTCACTGCAGTCCCCGAGGCCCTCATGGCCCCTTATGTCACTCCTTCCTGAGCAACGAATGGGCCCAAGTCCTGTTAACTCACAGGGCCCAGGCCGCACTGCTCTGCTAGGTCCCAGAGTATGCAGTCGGGCACACAGAAGGTTTGTGTTCACGTTGGTTCTTCACTCACCACGGCCACCCCCTCGTTGTAACCTTGGATTGTGGCCATCGTTGCTTTACTTAGAAGCAGCAATGTCGTCTCAGGTGAATTTGTTTCAGAACCTGCTGCCCCACAGCCCATTGAAGGAGCGTGAGTGGGTGTGTCAGGCAGAGCCACGGTGATGCGTTCCGGTCTCCCGTTTAATTTTTTTAAAAAAGGTCTCTATCAGTTCATTACTGAGTCAATTAATAAATCAAACTTATGTTCAAGACTGCTTTCTTTTTTGATTTCTCTGATAAGTGGCAAACATTGTGATACCATATGATTTGCCAGGTTGTAAGCTGATCGATGTATTTTTATTCTGTCCTCTCACATTTAGGTTATAAAGACCAGACTGGCTTTAGGCAAAACTGGGCAGTATTCAGGAATTATTGACTGTGGCAAGACGCTTCTGAAACAAGAAGGTGTTAGAACCTTCTTCAGAGGTTACATCGCTAACGTGTTGGGCATTATACCTTATGCAGGCATAGATCTTACTGTTTATGAGGTGAGTTTATTCTTCTGGTGTGACAATATGTGTTAGACTTGAAAATTTGCTACCACAATAGTTTTTATTCTAAAAAACTGGTTATAAATGACTTTTCATGAAATAGCTTCTGACCAAGAAGTGAATTGACTGGTTTTATTTGGCTTTTCATTTATATGTTAGTTGTCTGGTATTCTAATAATAATATGTTTTGTTTGGTGGTGTGTGTATGTGTAAGTTTTGGGTAATAATAATTATAGGCCAAAATGTTGATAAGATAGTGGTTCTGAACTCTGGATCTTAACAGAATTACCTGTACGTGGATCGATAAAAAAATGAGATTCTTGGGCTACATCTCAAGAGATTCTGAATTACTTACTCTGGGGAGATGCCTGGGATTCAGGTCTGGTAACTCCTTAGGAGGGTCTGGTGGACAGCTAAGATGGGGAAAGCAGGTGTTACCGCACCATCGCGAAAACGAGAACTGATGGGAGGAGTGGTGGGGGGCTTGCGGGGACAGGCAGGGTGGGGACGGGGCAGCTACCCCGGCAGTGTGGTGCTGAACAGGCAGGACCCCAGGTTACTCCCCTTTCGGCCGGCCGTTTTGTTTTTACGACCATGCATCCCTTTCAGGGAGGCCACCTTAACCACGTGCCATTTGGTCATTAGAGCCAGGTGACAGCGTGCACCGTACCAGCACAACTCCATTCGTTCTCCGTGCAGGAGGGACAGCTCTCTGGGCAGAGGCTTGGTGGCATTTTTGGCAAATGGTACCAGGGTGAGGACAGATAGCCAGTTTCATTTAGCACTTGAGAGATATGCTTACTTTTATTGGTAGGAGTTTAAAGTATCGAATATTATAATATATTTCTTTTCCTTTTTGTTTTCTTGCTTCTGTGACCTTATTAAAATAATTTCATTGCTCCTGTTTAATGTTAGCCTCCCACTGTTCTTTTATTTCTACACTTCAATGTCTTTTGCTTTTATGCCGGAGTGATATCACACATTTCTCTCTTCGTGTTGCATGGCTGTACTAAATGTACACAGAGCCAAAGACATTTTGAAATTTAATTTTTCAAAAGCATCAAATTATACATTTTATAGTAAATTGGTCCAGTGTGTAGTCTAATAAGTAAACAGTTCTAGAAGCACTTAGTGATATTTTAAACCTACTATTGTGAAAATTCCTTCTATCTACTTTCATTCAAGGAAAAGCAAATTCGGAAAGGTAAATCTTTCTTAAGAGTTGACACCATATGGTTTTTTTAACCTAGAAAAGATTAGCAGTCTCCTCTGCACTGTTCTCTAAGTCCCCCTGAGGCTGTCCAGGGTTTTGCCTGGGTCTTTCAATGCCATTACAAACCAAACCACCAAGCAAAACAAAGCAAACGAGACCCAGAATAAACAGAGCCCACACAGACACAGTGCATTTATTTGAAAACATCTGCACACACTGTCCTGATGGCGCGGCAGGGACAGCCTTCCCTGTACAAGGGGCAGGAAGGGCCATTTATGAAGAGTTTGGAAAGAACGGTTATTAAAGTCAAGCACCCAGGCTTGACTCCCACTCACCGGCTCTGTGACCTGATAACTTAGTCTCTCGGAACGAGTTTCCTCACCTATAACATTTGTAAAGTGGAGACAACACTACTGACTGGTCAGGTTTCTGGGGGACAAAACGCGGTCGCATCAGAGAAAACAATATAATTCTTAAATGAAGAAGCTAGTCACTAAGTTGTGTGAGTGATGAATTCTTCCTACTCAGACTTGCGCAGTAGTTAAAGGATGTTTACTGCTTTCTTCTCTTCCAGCTGTTGAAAAACTACTGGCTGGAACACTACGCAGCCAACTCTGTGGACCCCGGGTTGATGGTCCTGCTGGGCTGCAGCACACTGTCTCACACCAGCGGTCAGATAGCCAGCTTCCCCCTGAACCTCGTCAGAACACGCATGCAGGCGCAAGGTGAGCGCTGCTTTCCAATGAAGCACAGAGTTTAGAGGGTCGATAAGCCCTCACTGGTGTAGCTCAGTGGATTGAGCACGGGCCTGTGAACCAAAGGATGGCGGTTCGATTCCTAGTCAGGGCACGTGCCTGGGTTGCAGGCCAGTTCCCAGCAGGGGACCCACAAAATTAAAGGTTAATAAAAGAAATAATTAATAAAACCATTATTAATTTAATGACTCAATAAAAGCTAAGTTAAAAGTTAAAGTAGAAGTTAAATGATTTCAAAATGAGGAAAACTGTAGGACGGCTAAATTAAAAGCTCACCTTCTGATTTTTGAAGCACGATCTTGAATCTGTCGCGTTCCCGGAGAACCTTTGGCAGGGCTCTTCGCAGTTCCGTGTGGGGCTCTCCACCTTCCTCCTGTCGCTGCTGGGCCTCTCCCAGCGTTTGCGGTGAGGAAGTGCCAGGCAGAGCGATAGGGAAGGTCTGCTTGGCTCGGCCCGAGGCGGCAGTGACAGGGAAGGAGCCGGCACTTGCCTCGTCTTCCGCCTCAGGAACTGAGACGTGTGGACTCGAATGCCGTGCGTGGTTTCACTTTCCTGTCCTCTTGGCAAGGAGACAAGAAACGGGAGGGAGGGCATCTGCTTCCTTCCTCTCACATGAAATGTCAGGAGATTAGATTCGAAGAAAATACCCTTTTCACTTTTCAAGAAGAAAAAACACCCATCACATAATCCTACGATTATCTTCCCGAGTAACTCATGTCCTAAATGATACTCATTTACATTCTCTCCCCCACTTCCTTTTGGGAAGATTTTCAGGTTTAATTTACTTTGCAGTCCAGGTGGGGAATCTCTGTCCATCCCATTCCTTATCTATCCCCCTTTCAAAATAAATGTCACGCCCAAATCCCAGTGCTCCTTTGAGGCCCCAATTAAAGACTCTCAAGTGCTGTTCAGTCGAACTTCCTGCAACGATGGGGAGATTTTCTATCTGTGCTGTTCAGTGCGGTAGCCACAGGGCCCATGTGGCTGTCGGGCACCTGAAGTGTTGCTCCTGCCACTCAGAAATTGAGCTTTTAGTTTTACTTAATTTTAATTAATTCGGATTTAAATAACCATACATGTCCAGTGACCGTGGTAGTGGCCCACACAGGACAGTTCTACAGGCAGGGAGAGGAGTGCCCTGCAGATTCTCAGTAGTCACTGGACTGGCTTTAATATGTGAAGGTACACTATTGGCTTGGCTGCTGTAGCTCAGCGGATCGAGTGCCGGCCTGCGAACCAATGGGTCGCTGATTCGATTCCCAGTCAGGGCACGTGCCCGGGTTGTGGGTCAGGTCCCCAGTGGGGACCACATGAGAGGCAACCGCACACTGAAGTTTCTCTACCTCTTTTTCCCCTTCCTCCCCTTCTCTAAAAGTAAATAAGTAAAATCTTAAAGATAAAATATTGAATTACGATGATTTTTTAAATTTACAGCACTGGAGGGTAAAGGAACGACCTCTATGATTCACCTCATTCAGGACATATATAACACAGAAGGAAAAAGCGGGTTTTTCAGGGGGCTCACCCCCAACGTCATAAAAGTGCTGCCTGCGGTCATCATCGCCTGTGTGGCTTATGAAAAAGTGAAAGGATATTTTGGACTGAGTTAGAGGTGAAACGCGAAATTGTCGTCATCACCGTGGTCACTGAACTGTGAGGTAACACCTGGGTTGTAAAGAGAAACCGGTCTCTTCCTGAAAGGAAAAAGTATCAAATAATTGTTGAAGCACTCTCTTTATTTTACCTATTATAAAACCTATGTAAAGTTCCTTAATAATTTAAAATCCTCAGTACCCACTGAATTCTCCTTACAGTTCCCACCACTGTCCCTTGAACGCTGACTCGAAACAACTTTCTCTCGGGTGTAAATGGGCTGTGGTAACGTTACGAGACATTTGGTCAGTGGGAGCAGTTTGTGTTAACCTTGCTGTGTTTAAACAACTGTTTTTTTAAAAAGAAAGCTGAACTTGAACGTGTTTTATACACTAAAGAAAAATCAGTGCACTTAAAGTTGATGTTGTAGCCAATGATCGGGGTCTGTTTCTCTTCTTTAAGCAAAATGGAGAGTTGATTTCACAATTTCTTCTATCAGATTGTGGGTGGAATAATGAAAAAAATGATAAAATATTTTTTAACTTCTCTGGGTACATTTTCTTTTATTTTCTAATAGAAAAACATTTGAGAGGAAGAATTAAAAAATTAAACCCATTATTTCATACTTGTTGAAGCAGTTCTTACTCAGGGGTTGATTGAGTCAACCCTGTGATACCTTAAATGTCTCTTTTCACTTATATGAAAAAAAAATGGATCCTAGTCCCTGGTGGAACTGGTTCGTTATTATTTAGTTATTAATGAAATGCGAGTGTGGCCATGGTGGTAATGGGCTGCTTGGCCACAATACGCCTCCAGTGAAGACCTGCCTGGCTGATCCGACCAACGCCAGGCTTTGAGCCTAAGCCTCGTCAGTCCCCAGATGTGCCTTCATTAATTTTCTTAAGACCAATTTTGGAAACTCAAGACCAGTTTCTTGGTGATGAATTAATTAAAAGTTACAAGACTAAGGTACATATCACAACACAAAGTTACTGAATTAGAGCGAGCTTCCTCGTTTCCAGGAGCCAGGCCATCCCTTTCCCAGGGCACACTGTCCCTGGCATCCTGGTCCCTGGGAAGCCACGTGAGTACTGAGAAGACCCATCTGGAACTAGCACACAGAAGAAGGTGTTTTTGAGGAGGGTTTTACTTGGACCCACCGCAGTTGTGGCGGGAGGAGTTGGGGACCTCGTCCCCAAGGGAGAGGACCTGAGACCTGGAGTCGGAGGAGAGAATTATGGAACTTGAGCTACACTGAATCCCAGACCCCCGAGGGAGGAAGGCAGGCCTCACATGAAGTCCGGGAGCGGGTGTGTCAGCAGCCCGAGTAACAGTGGCAGTTGTGCAGACAGACAGACTCTTTAAAGGCGCTCCAAATGGGTGGGACGTGTTGCGCCGTGACAGGGACGTGGGGCGGGCCATGGGCGTTAGGGAGAGTGCAAGTGGCCCGGTCATTTTCAGACACATGCTGCCTGGGGAGATGCAGGGAGACATGCAGCTGCTGCTGTAGGTTGGTGGCAGGTCATGGAGAGCGTTGAGGCGTGGGTGACAACTGTGTGCTCTGGTGAGAGAAGATGCCTGAGACAACAGGACCGAGCCAGTGAGAGAGGAGGACACAGCAGAGACCAGCTAAGTGCCACGGCCTCTGCCCAAGTCACAAAGTGATGACTTCTGAAAGGGCTTCTCTGTAGAGTGGCTGGACCCAAGTACCGTATCAGAGGTCAACATGCAGTGCTGTCTTTTTTTTAAAATTAAAAACCTAAAATTCTCTAAGTGCCTGTTATGCATCAGGTCCTCTTTCAAAGCACTTTAAAAGGCTGTCATGCTTAATTCTTAATAACCGCACTGGAAGGTTGAGATTAGTATCCCCGTTTTCAGTTGAGGAACTAAGTTTAGAGGGGCCAGTGCTTTGAACAGAACTGTAGCACTTCCTCCCTGCTAGGGTTGTGCCCAGCCCTCACTCTCAGCTGCTCCGCCACACCCTTGGCCATGGCCTGCATAGTTCGTAAAATCTCTTAAACTGACAATTCAGCCCAGTTCTTCTTTGGGCACAGCCCCTCCACTCTCTTAGATTGAGTTTCTAACGTCACTGTCTAGCAGAGGCCCCAGGGCTCCCTGGGGAAATGACCAGTCCAGGACTTGGGAGGTAAATATAAATGAGGAGCCCAAGCACACATGCACATACACACACATGCACACATGCATGCACATGCATGCACACACACACATTGATGGGGACATAGCCGAGGGACACACGAGCCAACTGGAAGAACTTCCAGTCACCAAAGCTGAAAGAATTGGAACAACAAAAGCAATGAAGTGGCCTTGGATTATAACCCAACACATGAGATAAATAGCCAGGGGTCATCATGAGGTAAATCAGTGATTGAATCAATAAGTGGGAAAGACTAGACAAATATATGTGGGAAAACTTCACATTAATCGACCTTGGTCCTTCTCCCTCAACCCCACACACACGAAGTGCGGGCTCTGGGCAGAGACTTCCGAAGAGGACAATGTGGAGGAAATGGGGGGGGGGGCGGGGGGAGGACGACTTCTTTGGACAGAGATGGCGAACCGGCCTCAGCAGGCCGTCCAGGTCGACATCAGCTACGTCGTCCTGGTTGTGTACGTACCCTTGATACTATGTGACAGGAAGGACACTTTACCTCTCTGTCCTCCTTCCGAAACCCCAAACCCCATGATCCTGAAAAAACACCAAAGGAATCTCAGTCTAGAGACAGTTTACAGAATACTTGGCCAGTACCCCTCAGAGTGGTCAAGGTCATCAAAAAAGCCTGAGAAGTCATCACAGCCAAGCCAAGAGGAGGTTCAGGAGACACGATGACTAAATGGAAGGGGGCATCTTGGGCGGGATCCTGGAGAAGAGAAAGGGGAGTGTGTCGGACGCTAAGGGGAACTGAATACAGCACGGACCTTTGTGAAGAGTAATACCAATATCGGTTCTTCAATCGTGCCAAATGCATCGCACTAACTTAAGATATTAATACTAATAAAGGGAAATGGGCACGGGTACCTGGGAATTCTCTGTATTCTTATCACAGGTTTCCTGCAAACGTAGAAGTTAAATTGTAAAGTATTTATAAAAATGCCTCCCACAATGATGATTTCCGAGTTGCCCCCTAGGAGACGGTGTTCCTCTCACGGAGCTGGTCCTGCACTCGAAGGCCCGATGCCTCCCCTCCCCCGGCTCACTCAGGGAAATGGGAGGTGTGATGGACCCCACACTTGTTTTTTTTTAAGGAGTAGCTAAGGACATTGTTTCACGTGCCGTGGGGTTTGTGAAAAATATTTTCACCAGATAATTTGTTTTGCTGCCCAGTTCATAATTGTAATAATGATGGCAGCATGAATTCAATAATATGGATGATGGTAATATTAATAGTAAACTTCAGAGGGTGGTGGGGAGAAAGTCGGGTTTCTTGCTAACTTCTCATGGCTTAGAGTGGTTGCGTGGGGAGGGCATGCTCAGACCTCCCATTGGAAGGAGAAAAGTGGCATTGGCATCATTTGCCTATAAGCAGTGAGCCAGCTGTGTGTACCAACTGGGCTCGAAGGGAAGTGGTGTTACGTAGTTAGACTAGGCGGTGGTGCCAGCCTCCGCAGTCTTTTTCTTAACAAAGGTAGTTGGTCTATGATCAGAGAGGGGAAGTCTCAGGAGGAAGGAGTAAATATGTTTTTTTGCTGATTTTTTTTTTCTGATTTGTTTTTAAGTGGAGCTGACTTTTGAACATTTGACAAATTACATACAATCTGATTCACTGAAACCCAACTCAGTTACATTGAATAAGGAAACTATCGGTGCTTCTATATCGTCTTCCAGAAAAATGCCTTTCCCCCCTTTTCTTGAACTTGGATTCATTCACTGGGAACGCAATGCTTTGGGCCCAGGCACATCGTTAATTTTTCCATCAGCGAGCACCTAACCTGAGTCAGGGAGCCTCTTACGAGGATTCGGATTCGAGGACTCGGGGAATTTAGCAGCAGAAAGAGCGCTAAGAAAGACGCCCTCTGGCGCCCGAGGTGGGAAGCCGTAAAAACTGGGCTGTCTGGCCCGGGAGCTTCTGGTCTTGTTTGGCCTGAGCACCCCCGACCCCCCTTTCCCTAAGTGCTCTCAGTTGCATTTCTGGCAGTCGGACTCCCTAAACACTATCTCTTTATAGCCTCCTTGGGTTCTTAAAGTTTTTTTGAAGATAGAAAATATAGAAATTAGGATTTACTACGACTGTAAACTGACCTTAGACACACTTAGCGTAATACCGTACACAGAGTCCACATCGGGAAGACATACGAGGTTGTGTAGACATTAAAAGGGAGGGTTAATTAAAATCGGCAACGATAACGAAGAAGAAATACTATAGCGACTTTAAGAAGTGGTACATTGTGACAGAAGCAGGCTTCAAGAGTTATAACGTGAACTTTGACCTTCCCACGACCCCCTCCCCCCTGTTTCCGCGGCACAGAGTTGCCTCGTGGGCTTCAGGGCTTAAATAGGCAGCCAGGTCGCTGAGAAATAAATCACTCACAGGACAGGCAAGGTCCTGACGCCAGAGGAAGCGTTGCTCTGTTGTTGACAGAAGGACGCTCTCCTGATGAATTGCTTTTGCAATCAATATATAAGATAACTTTTAAAGATAAACGTATGACATCCCTCCTGTTGATTTGCTTCCGTTTTATTGGAATGGACAGCGAGTGAATATGGACAGAGAATAATTTTTTAAAACAGAAAAAAGCATGTTACATCGAGTTGTTAAATTATACTTTAGTTCTGTATCTCTTGTTAGTGTAGTTTAGGGACCCATAACCATGGGGACGACCGAAAACACCCACTTTTCTTCCTTCTTTCCCTTGATCCCCTCCTGCCTGCACGTCCCTGTTACTCATCCCCAAAGCACTTTAACTTCAGCTGCAGCGCCCTCTACTGGCTTGTTAGCAACATTACACTGGGGCCGTTTCCCCCAAGTGGCAGCTTTTCCTTCAGAAGAACACATTGAAAATGTGCTAAAGAGATGGCTTCTTGCCAATTGAATTGCTCTCAAACCGCTTGAGACGTATTGCACAGACACTGGTCCCGTTACGTTAGTATAAAGAAACAAATGGTCATGAGTCTGAAGACATTACAAAGATGTAAGCGAACAAACTTGAATGTCAAAAATTCAGTTTTTGAGTCCATGTAGCAAAAAGGCATGAAAAAATTGAAAGATGACAAAAATTTCCATTTTCAAAAATGAGTGACGAGCACTTTATAATGAGAAACATGCACTTGAAGTTCCTCTCTGTACAACACAACTTTAAAAATGAATGTTAGAGAAGCAATTTTTGTTGTTTTGTAGATTCTTAGTTTTATGGGTCTTCATTTGACCCAAATTTCTTCTGTAGCTACAGAGCCCTGAGGTGTGAGTTATTTTCTGCCTCCCCTGACTAAACTGTGTGCTTTATGAGGACAGAGACCCCTTTGTATTTTTATATCTAAACATATTTAAACTGCGAATTCTTGCCAACGCCACTCATTCAAACCAACCTTCCAGGGGTCACACTAGCTTTCCCCTCTGCATGCTGTAACTCGTTTCTCGACAGCAAGGAGCCTAGGTCTCGTCATTCTCGATTTGTGCGTTTATTTTCTCCGTCCCCTGACCTGCAGCCAGTCTCCCAGCCCTTTCAGCTGCTGCCCTGTGGAGCCGGAGCCGCCTTCTTTCTTTGGGCTTTGATGCTCCTGGGGCATCTCTCCAGCCCGCAGGCTGGCTGGTTCAGGAAGGAAGGGAGGGAGGGAGGGGGAGGTTTCACAGCCAGAAATACAGTGTAGAATGTGGATCCAACTCTCATGATTATCGATTCTTCAGTAGATGTGCATTTTTTTTGTGTTAAATCTATCAGTCTTCAGAACAGAATTTACATACAGTTTCAAAACTGAAGATGATTTTAACATGGTCTTGTACATGATTATATTCAAAGTGATGCATGTGGGTTTCTAAAACAAAATACTTTATTGTTGTTCAGTTACAGTTGACTGCATTTTCTCCCCACCCCTCCCCCTACCCCAGCCAAACCCCCCTCCCTCCCTTGCTTCCACCCTCTCCCTTGGTTTTGTCCATGTGTCCTTTATAGTCTTTCCTGAAAACCCTTCTCCCCACTCCCCTCTGGCTGTTGTTAGATTGTTCTTAATTTCAATGTCTCTGGTTATATTTTGTTTGCTTTTTTCTTTTGTTGATGAGGTTCCAGGTAAAGGTGAGGTCATATGGTATTTGAGGCCCATTTTAATTTGACACAACTGTTTTGAAACCCAGAGGATTTACATGATTTGGAAATGGTGATGAAGTGCCATATTTATATGATGGAAAGCTGTCTTCATATTTTCAGAGCAGAGTGCAGGTAGTGGACAGGCTAAGAGACAGAATTCACCTTCTTATCTGGAACCCTGTCTCCCAAATGACTTGGAAAATATGGGCAGAACAGCCACTTGGCTTAATATGATAAATGAGTCAAACCTAAAGTGATTGTTGTCTCCCTAAAGACAACTAGGATATTCAGATTCAGAATTCATTGTGTGATCAAATTATCTTTCCTCTGGTGGCGGTGGCTGGACCCGGGGCGAGTCAGATCGCCTGCGTAGCCCACTTTGTGACCTCCGACACTGGAGACAGCGGCCACCAGGATGGTGAGGTAGGACCAGGTCCTCGTGGCTTCGGTCTCATTAGCACCACGTAATCACTAGGTGGCCCAGTAGATAAAAGGGGGAAACCTGTGTTGCAGACAAACTGAAGTCTGCAATGACTATTCAAGCAGATTCCTCCTAACTATAAGATATTCAAAGTAGGTGCTGAAAGAGGTCTTTGGACATCAAAACAGACGAAATTGATAAAGTCTGGAGGTTGTTCCAACGGAAGCCGGTAGTTCTCGTGGAGGCTAGAAATTGGGGAAAATTGAAGAGTTGGTCTGAATCCTAGACTCCTGTGCTGACCACAGAAATGGGTTGGGTTTCGGAGGTGTGAGTTCAGGGTCTCCAGGCTGGGCGTCTGCAGGAAGCACTGGTCTTTGGGGGTCGCTGACACAGAAGTGGGCGGAGGGCCCGCCATGCAGATGTCGAAATGTCCATGTTACACTCCTCTCTCCTGCAGGAAGTTGCGTTGTGATTACATCTTTCTTCTGTACGGCAACAGTATTTTCTTAATCCACTGAGGACAGACGCTTTCGTAAAATACAGTCAAGTTGAATTGTTAGAACGTTGAAATAAAGACACAAGCCTTGAATTTTTATTAGATTCAGCAAACATAAAATAACTCCATCAAGCTGCTATGAATTTTCTAAAGGCTTCCTCTTAAGTACCGACCTACCTTGCTGAGAACAGGTAACTGCTTGCAGTCTGGTGCTGGTGTGCAGACCACACTGGGTATGGTGCTGCTTTATACTAGCGTAAGAAAGGGTCATGGGGGGCCTGTGTGTCAGTGTGACTCTTATTCAGAGGGGCAGGGGTGGGCCCGAGAATCTGCATGCCTCACAAGCTCCCAAGTGGTACCGATGCTGCTGCTTTGCAACCACACGCCTGTGTAACAGTCCAAGATTAGGACCTTCGTAAACCGTCTTGATTTTCATAGTGGTCATTTGAGCTAAGAATTCTTATTCCATTTTACTCACGTTGAAGTCAGATTGTAATTAAAGGCAGATGCATTGAAGCGTAATTTCCAGAGTAAAATTAAACTTCCTTTCGAGTACAGTATCATGCCTTTTAACAAATGCATCAGCTGGGTAACGACCACCATAATCAAAACATAAAACCGGTCCCTCACCCCCGAGAACTCCCTTCTGCCCCCACCCCACAACCCCGGCCCTGGGCACTGCTGTCCCTAGAGTTTTGCCTTTTCCAGGTTGTCCTGTAATGCACTGTTGGGAGTATCAGTAGCTCACTCCTTTCATCGCTGCCTAGTGTTCCATTGTATGAGTGCAGCACAAGTCGCTCTTCCATTCACCAGTTTAAGAACATTTTCCCTGGCTGGTGTGGCTCAGTGGATTGAGCGCCAGTCTATGAAACAAAGGGTCACTGGTTCGGTTCCCGGTCAGGACACATGCCTGGATTGTGGGCCTAGGTTCCTAGTAGGGGGCAATTGAGAGGCAACCACACATTGATGTTTCCCTCTCTTTCTCCCTCCCTTCCCCTCTCTCTAAAAACAAATAAATACAATCTTAAAAAAAAAAAAGAATGATCTTGTTTGTGGCAATTATGAATGAAATGGCTCTAAGCATTCTGTACAAGTTTTTGTGTGAAAAGCTTTCTCAGTCAACATTTTGGCGGGCGGTTATTCCTCTAGTGGTTACCAAAATAAAGGAAAATGAAAATATTTAAGTCTGGGATGAGTATTTCAAGCAGCCTCTCCTCAAATACAGAAATACCCACAGTAGGGAAAAGGGGTTTTTAAGGACGGGTAGAAAATTTGATGATGTGAATGAAGGCTTTTCTAAAGGAAAGAGGATAATTCTTAGCAGGACTGGAAATTGGAGGTAAATAAGCAAATAAATTAGTTTCCAGATGCTTTCACTAACCAGAGAGCTGTCAGTTTACAAACTCTAGAGTCACACATGTCTTAAACATATAAAATGGCACGAGGGGGCGGCAAAATTCAGGGCCCGGGTCCCTGGATTTGGTTTGAACGGCTGGTCTTTGTTTAGTGATGCAGACAGTGTGGGGGAGTTGAACGTCTTACAAGTTCACGGTGGCACCTCCTGCAGGTGACAGAAATACGGTCGTTTCTGTGAAGCAGCCGTGGGTGAACACAGAATGATCACAATGAATGCCATGTCGTTTGACGGGCACATTCACACGCAGCAGAAAACCTTGTTGTTGTGAGACACTCACTGTACCACCCAGAGGCTGCTCAGAGCGGGTGTGCCACCTGGGTCCCCACAGCCTGGTGTTTTCCGAACCCAGAGTTCCCCCCCCTCCCATTTCTGTCTTCCCTGGGCAGTGAACCCCAAGTCTTGTGTCTGCACCCATATCGAGAGGCTGAGCCTGAGGTTTTCTCACAGGTGCTGTTGACAGAAGCTACTCAGGACTCATCAGGGGCAGGTCTGGTGCACTAAGCTGTGGACCAAAGTGGACCCTCTTTTTATGACCCCCACCTGCATGGATGTGGCTGTTTTCTGCAAGAGACTGTTGAGTTTTTCCAATTTGGCTTTCTGTGTGTGTGTGTTTCCTCTCCTCAGTTTTACTGAGATATAATCAATATAACACTATGTTACATTTAGGTGTTACTTTGAAAAAAATTGCTTTCAGATTTAATTCCTGTTTCTTAGGGCAGAAATCCCAGTCCAGGTGCGCATTTTTGTGAATGGGAAACAGGCCCAGAGATGTGTGGCGTGTGCGGAGTGGCAGGAAAAAGTCGGAGGTCGGTGCGAAATCAAGAGGGGCCGGCCCAGTCTCCAGGCAGAGGAAGCCACCTCTGGGCAGCGCGCCAGGGCTGCCAGCCAGGAAGGAACCGGGCTTAGCTAAGGAGCCTGAGCTGCAAACTGCTCCCACTGCCCCCCTTAGGTATCTGAGGCTGAGGCCCGCGACTTCTGGGGGCCTGATCCTCGTGCGTGCGTCTGGCAGCCGGCACCGGAGCGGCACTGGCTCTCTAGGTCCCACACTCTCCCCGAGGCCCACCCGCAGCCCTGCCCCTTCCTGCCCAGCCTCGGCTGCGCCTGGCCCGGCCCTCGCGCCCAAGTGGAGGCGGGCGCTGGGTGAGCTCCGCCTGCATCAGCTGCCCCTCCCTGCGCCGCTGGGCTTGGGTGGGGTCCCTGCTGCTGCGTCCACCACACGCCGGGCCCTGGCAGCCAGACCTACGGCCGCTGCGCGGGCTCCCCCGGTGACTTGCCCCGGCCGCACCGCCCCTGGCTCCGGGACCATGCTGCGCTGGCTGCGGGCCTTCGTGCTGCCCGCGGCGGCCTGCCAGGACGCGGAGCCGCCGACGCGCTACCAGACCCTGTTCCAGCAGCTGGACCGCAACGGGGACGGCGTGGTGGACATCGGTGAACTGCAGGAGGGGCTCCGGAACCTGGGCATCCCCCTGGGCCAGGACGCCGAGGAGGTAGGTGGCAGCTGGGCGCGGCCCCGATGCAGGGAGGGCTGAGGGCGCTGGGGCGCTGCCGGCGCGGAGGGCGGTGGCCCGCGCTCGGCCGGGAAGGAGGAGGGGCTGGGATGCTCCTGATGGGCCGGGTGTCCTGGCAAACGGAGGCGCGGTGGCTTCAGACCAGAAGCACCGCGTGTTTTTCCAGATAAAATCAGTGCGGCGAACACTCGCCCACCGGACCGTGGTGCTTCTGGTCTGAACGCCTCCGGGGGCCTTTACCTGCCTCTCTGCGCCTTTGCAAACTTTTGATCAAGGTGTTGTTTGTTTTTAGCTCTGAGCCTTTGCAAACATTTGCAAACATTTAGAAAGTTTATTTTTATTTTTATTTTTATTATTTTTTTTAGCTCTGAGCCTTCACAGTTAAACACATTTAATCAAACTTGAACTTTTTGGCTGTCAGGTTTCGTGGGCCCCAAATATTGTAAAAAACTCACACGAAGTTCCCTCTTCGAAGCTGCTTTGTTGCACCAGCTAGTTTCGCCTGCCGTTTCAGATCTGTTCGAAGTCCAGGCTTACCTTTTCCCAACTTCCTCTCGAGGAGGAGAGGCGACATTCCATTGACTCACCTTCTTCACCGGTCCAGAAGTTGACCTGGAGGGTTGGCGGGTCTCCTCCATTTCAAGGTCTCTGAGTCATTTTAATTGTGTGGCTGAAGTTCAGCCCCCCAGCAGGGAGGAGGTCTTTGGAACCTCTCCAAGTGTCGCTGTAACCTGGGAGGGAGAGGGATTTAGCTGCAAGAGCCAACTGTTTTGTGGTTCTGTAATTTAAGCTACTCATTCAGTGTCTGTAGTGGAGACTGGGCTCTTCTGGTTACTGTTTGCTTCTTGAGTCTGATTTACAAAGGTACAGTTCTTCGGACACGGTCCATTTTGTCTGAGGTCCTTAAAACCGCACTTACGATTTTAAAAAAGTTCTGACTCTATTTGTAGTTACATTTCCTATTTCATTCCTGGCTCCTTTCATTTCTTGTCTTTTATTTTTTTCTCTTAACCTCTGTTTATTTCTTTCTACTTTGTGTTTATTCCTTTGCTCTTTTTGTAATTTCTTGAGTTAAATGCTTGATTCATTAATTTTGAGCTACAATACCCCTTTGATTGCTTTTTTAATTTTTTTAAGATTTTAAATATTTATCTTTAGAGGGGATAGGAAGGAGAGCGGGAAAGAAATATCAATGTACGGTTGCCTCTCATGCATCCCCTACTGGGAACTGGCTTGCAACCCAGGCATGTGCCCTGACTGGAAATCGAACTGCGATCCTCTGGTCTGCAGGCCCACACTGAATCTACTGAGCTACGCCAAGCCTGGGCTGATTGCTTTTTTTAGCTGCACCCTCCAAGTTTGTGCTTTTGTTGTTAGCTAGTTGCTAGTATTTCCTAGTTTTTCCAATGTGATTCCATCTTTGACCCATGAATTATTTAACCATGTGCTTTTTTTGGGGGGGGGGTTAGTTCTTTAAAAACATGAGTAAAATAGACAGACCTCTGTGTAGCTTGATTGAGAGAGAATAAAAACTGCCTGTATTTTTTCAAAATTTATATAAGAACAAATATCAAATAAGTTGTATAAAACTGTGTATATGCAAACACATAGAACAGAATGGCATATGTTTATCACTATAATATATATTTTGTACATATATACATAAATGTGCTTTTATTTCCAACATATGTAGGAAAAGGTAACCAAAATTCACTTGTTGAAAGGTACCTAGAGATGCTGGATAAAATAAGATAAATAGCTTTTTTAAATTAAAAAAAGACTGCCCCGGATGGTGTGGCTCGGTGGATTGAGTACGGGCCTGTGAAGCAAAAGGTCACCGGTTTGATTCCCAGTCAGGGCACGTGCCTGGGTTGCAGGCCAGGTCCCCTGTAAGGGACACATGAGAGGCAACCACACATTGATGTTTCTCTCCCTTTCTTTCTCCTTCCTTCCCCTCTCTCTAAAAATAAATAAATAAAAACATTAAAAAAATTAAAAAGACTTTTTCATAGAGGTTTTAGGTTTACAATAAAGTTGAGAGGAAGGCACGGAGATGCACCCATACCCTTCCCACCCCCCACCTGCACCGCCCCCCCCCCATTGTCAATGTCACTCACCAGGGGGGTACTTTTTTTTTTTTTAAACCGAGGGTGAACCTTCCTTTTATACGTCATCATCCCCCGAAGTCTGTAGCTTATTTAAGGTCCACTCGCGGTGCTACACATGCTGCGGGTTTGGACGAGAGGACGCCGACTCGTTCCCGTCTCACGCGGAGCCTTTTCACGGCCCCAGCCGCCCTCCGTGCTCTGCCTTTTCTTCCGCCACTGCCGCGCTTTCTCTGGCCTCCATGGTTTTGCCAGATGAACATCTTTTTACACGCACAGATAAGCTTGGAGGAAGATGAGGACAATCTAGCCAAACTGCCTGCGTTTAAATCCTAGTTCTGCTAATTACTAGCTAATTTTGGACCATTTTAAAAAATCCCCCCAGAAAACAAAACAAAACGATCTCTCCAGCCTCAGCCTCCTCTCCGTGGCAGAGGTAACACCAGCACCCGTCTTCCAGGGTTGATGTACCCCGGCCTACGAAGAGGGTGCCTTCTTCTCTTGCCCGAGGGCCCCTGGACCCAAGGAGCTCCAAGTGTCCCGGTAGCAGCTGGAGCTTGTAGTTCCCTGATCCCTTGCTGGACTCCCGGGCAAGAGTGTATCCTGCCTGGGGCCCACAGACGAACCCTGCAGAGCCCAGAGGTGTGGGAACGGGAAGCAGAACGTTTCCCAGTGGGTCACGGGGAGTGAGGGTCAGGGGCCCACCCTTGCTTCTCCTTCCTGGTTCCCGGGCTCATCTCTTCTTCCCGGTGAGGGCGCCCAGCCGGACACCGGTCTCTGATTTACTGTGCGCACTGAATCCCAAAGGGTGGCACCCATCTGCCGAATATCACCCAGTAGAATTTTATAGATATTTTTTCTTCCTTCTCATATCTTGGCATCATTCTAGTGGCAACTCTTGTATTAACACATGGAGCAGAAAGGGAGACAGGTTTTGTAGAGAGTGAAGGTATCCCTGTACCTAAGCTCAGGGAGGGCTGATTGAAGAAGTGAGCCCAGGAAAGTACAGTTTAGGCAAATTTAAAGCCGAGTGGTTTGCCATGTTTTCATAGGCATGAGCCCTGACTGGAACTTTCTTAGGCGGGACGTGGCATCACAGGCGAGGGGTACCAAGGGCAAGAAGGGAAGTGCTCAAAGCGCCCGAAGAGTCTCAGGTGTGGTGATGAGACTGTTTTGCTTCCCCTTCTCGGTGCTACAAAGCCCTCATTACCCCGGCTATGACTTCTGTCTTTTCTACTTGGTCCTATGCACTCCTGTGCCCTGGCCGGGTGCCTGGCTTCTGCGACTCTGTGATTACCTGCGTTCTCTGCAGCGTGGAAGGGAGGACCGTTCCCGGGGACTGTGCCTGTCTCTCTTGTGGGAGAACTCATCCTTGATTGGGCCACGGTGCGTCTTGTGAGACCGCATCAGAGAGCTGCCCCTCTTAGCGGCTGGGGGTGGGAGGACACGTTTGTTGCAAAGCCCACAGTAGGGCTGATGACTAACCATGGCGCAACCTCCTCCTGCAGGCAAACCCCAGGGCAACTCAGGGACACGTAATGGTCCTCCTAATGTCAGTGCTTGACATGATGAGTCAGCAGTGCTTGACATGATGAGAACTAACAGATAAGGGCTGCATTACATTTTCCTTATGAATTAAAAAATAATAATTTACTTTTGGGAGCAACGTTAGGCTCACAGCAAAAATAAAAGGAAAACCTAGCCATGTCCCATGCCCCGCCTGCTCCTACATCCATGTGAGTAGATTCCCAAACTACCAGCATCTGGCACCAGACTCGGCACGTTCGTTACAATTGATGAAGCCTCCTTGACACATCATCACCGCCCGAAGTCCAGAGCTTACCTTAGGCTTCGCTCCTGGGGTCGCACATCCCAAGGGTTTCGACAAAGGTACCATGACGTGTATCCACCGTTACAGCATCACACACGGTCGTTTCACTGCCCTAAGGGTCCTCTGGGCTCTGCCGTTCATCCTCCCTGGAGCCCTGACCTCTGGCAACCGCTGACCTTTTCACTGCCTTCATAGTCTTGCCTTTACCAGGATGTCAGATATCTGGAATCATAGAGAATGTAGCCTTTTCGGATTGGCTTCTTTCACTTAGTAATAAGGCATTTAAGTTTCTTCCATTTTTAAAAAATTAATGGTTTGATAGCTCATTTCTCTTTAGCACTGATTAATATTCCATTATCTGCATGGGCCACAGTCTACATACCCATCACTTACTGAGGGGCGTCTTGGTTGCTTCCCAGTTTTGGCAGCTGTGAGTAAAGCCGCTGTAGACATCTGTGTGCATGTTTTGTGTGGACGTAAGTCACAGAAGCTTCAGCTCCCGCAGGTAGGTGCCAAGGACCGTGATTGCTGGGTGGTATGGTGTGTGTTTAGTTTCACAAGAATCTGCCAGAAGGCCTCCTGTTTTTTCCTCTTTCTTCCCCCCCCAGTGTCTTCCAAACTGGTGGCACCATTTTGCATTCCCACCAGCAATGGTTGCGTGTTCTTGTGGCTTTCCATGAATTTTAATATTAAACTTTTTAAAAAGGATGCTCCATATTTAGGAAAATAAATGACATAGAAGTGGGGTTTTTGTTGCCAAACCCTATAGGTGGATTCTTCTACATCTGCCGTGGAGCAGGTGGGAGCCACAGGTATATGCTTAGGGAAGCCAGGCCCCCCCGCCCGTGGGTCCTGAGTCACGGGCATGGTTTGTGAGGGTCTCCTGACTTCTCTCTGGGACCCCTGCAGACTCGATTTCTGCCTCCTTTGAGGTCTGCACCTGGGAGGCTGGAGCCGGGACTGGGTGATCAGAGTGGCCTTGTCCAGCCCTGCTGTGATATCCAGGGTGGGGGGAGGGAGGACACTATGAGGACCTGGGGTTGAAGGTGGGTTGGGGGGGTGACATCCCAGAAGGAAAGGCCCAAGCAGGTGCGCTTTCATTAGGTTCCTAATTACCAGCCTTCATTCACACAGTTCCCAAGGGCCTCCACCTCCGAAGAGACTTCTTAGGAAAGTGTGACAAACCACTTTGAAAAGACCGGGGACGTCGCCACCAGTCGTGGCGCCCACAGTCCGGGTGCTCGCACTCCTCTCCCCACTTTCCTCTATAAAGAAGCCCCGCCCCTAGAGACAGCCCCCCTGCAAAGGTCGTGCCGGAAGTCTTGGGGGAAAGGACAGGAGCGGTCCCTGCTAGGCCTCCCCTGCAGTGGGCCTGGCAGCGCAGCCGGGACACCGCCAGGGCCACCTGCTCTGGGCAGGGGCCCCCCACCAGGAGCACCGCGTGCCCCCGCCTGGAGCCGTTGCTCCCCTTCCCGTGTGTTACCTCGCGGACACTTTGTCTTCGGTGCCACCAGCGATGCTGCCATCTTAGGTCTCTGCTGGCAGGACGCATGGGGGTGTGGGGGGCAGAGACGCCCCTCCCTCCTGTGACTTCCACCTGCGGGAGACTCGGGGCGGGGCGTGGACCTCCCGTGCTGCCTGCCAGACGCCCCCGATGGACGCCCTCTACGAAGATCTCTTTTGGCTCCTGGACCGAAATGAGGACGGGATCCTGGACATCACTGAGCTTCAGGAAGGCCTGGAGGACATGGGCGTCGTGTCTCCCCAGGAAGAAGGGAAGGTGGGCCTGGGCGGGGCTGAGGTCAGAGAGATGGTGGGGCCGGGAGCCCGGAGAGGCCTCGGGCGGAGAGCGGTGCAGCCTCATTCACACGTTCCCGAGCTTCACCTGGGCCCGCCCACCTGTAGACTCCCGATCGATTATCAGTGGCACTGTATTAAGAATAATTCAACACAGCCAATACTTTCCTCAAACACTTTTTTCAGTTTTCTTTTCAATGAAAAGAACAGCTCCAAATTCAAATTGCTCTCAACATGTTGGTTGCTGCCTTGTTTTCAGGTCCCCTTGTTCAATGTCCTCACCTGCGGTTAGTAGCCTGGGGGGGGCACCTAGGTAAAAAATGCATCTGCCCCACTTTGGGGATGTCCTTCAACTTGTACTTTCGAAAGTCATTGTTGTTTGCTTATATTTATGTTGATCAAAATATAAATTTCTTTTTTTTTTTTAAAATATTTTATTTATTTATCTTTAGAGGGGAAGGGAAGGAGAGAGGGAGAGAAGTCCCAATGTATGGTTGCCTTTCATGTGTCCCCTGCTGGGAAGTGTCCTGCAGGGACCCGGTCTGCATCCCCGGTATGTGCCCTGACTGGGAATCGAACCGCGGTTGTCTGGTTCGAAGGCCCGTGCTCAATCCACTGAGCTACGCCAGTCAGGGCTAAAATATAAATTTCTTAGATGAAACGGCAGTATGTGAATGGCACACCCCAGAAGGCTGTGGTAGCTTTTCCCAGACTGTGAAATATTCTGTATGTGTTGAGTAATCAGGAAATGATTCCCTGATCATGAAAACCACCCTCAATCTAATTTGGAAGCGTTAACTTCAGCGATAATTGTTTTTTCAGTGACAGTACAAATGTATTTGCTTTCAAAACTGTAAATAATAATTGATGGTATTTGAATCAGGGCTGTTTTGGTTGCAGGATAACAGATTCCAGCTCACGGCCATTCAATGAAAAGGCTAGAAATCTTTGCAGATACCTTTTATCCGATTATGGAAACATTGCTCTGTGGCTAGATTTCTGGGAATTTTTAATCATGAATGATGTGGAATCTGTCAAATATTTTCTACGTTTATTAAGATGATCATATGATATTTTTATTTTGTTAATGTGTAAATTACAAGTTTTTTTTTCTTTTTAAATGTTACTCATTACCTAACCTGGCATTAATGGAATACATTCATCACATATACATTCCACTTTATATATTGTTATATCACATACTATTATATGTGGTATTATACATTTTACATATAATGTTATCCACTTTATATATTGTTAGATTTTATTTGATTTCCTAACTGTTGTAGGATTCTTTGCATCTTTCTCACTAATGGCCTTGCTTAAGATTTTCTTTTTGGGGAATGTTTTAAAATTACAGAAGAATTTCCTTTAATACTTACAGGACTACTTAGATTTTCCAGTGATTTTTGATAAATTCTCTTTCTTCAGGGGTTTGTCTACTTTAGCTCGATTTTCATACTTTACGATATGAAGTTGTTCATAGTATTTTTACTGTCTACCTCGTGGTTTTCTTGTTGCGTTCTGACATCTGTTGCTTTTCAATATTCAGGGGTATATCAGTTTTACTGTTTTGTTTTTTTCCCCTAAAGAGCCACCTTTTGGTCTTGGCAGTCCTCTTCATGGTCTATTTGTTTTCTTTATGGTTACTTTTTTACTCTTCATCTTAATTCTTCATTCATTTCCAGAAATTTCCCTCTAAGCTTTGGTTGCATCTTACGAGTTTCAGACCTTTTTCTGAGTCCAGAGCCTGGAGGTCTGACCATTACCCCACCCGGCCACATGGGGGCGCTATTCCCAGAAGAGTATGACAGGAAACCAGTAGACTCTGTAAGCTCGGAGGGGGTGATTGGAGGCAGAAGGTGTGCATTTTGGGGCACAGTGGAAGAGGGCTTACACTAATATCAAATACCGTAACTTTTATCTCTTTCACAGGAGCCATGATTTCTGCTCATAGAGATGGTTTGTTTGATTAGACAGCTTTTTATAAGCATCATCTTTAGGAGGAGATTATTTAATTTTGGAACTCCCAAGGGAAAGTACTGTTTTAAATATTAAAATCCCAAGTGTTTATCTTCTATCTTGGGATTTGTGGAATACATGTCTTTCTGGAAAACAGCCAGTCTACTCGAAGTGTATGAACAAATAACTCAGTGTTTTAACCCATACTAAAATACTTGTTTTTTTCTTTTTTTTTGTAGAAAATTTTTACTACTGGTGATATCAACAGAGATGGAAAGCTGGATTTTGAAGAATTTTTGCGGTACCTTAAAGACCATGAGAAAAAAATGAAATTGGCATTTAATAGTTTGGACAAAAATAATGATGGTGAGAAAACCCTTCTATTTCCAAGAGTCTACAGCGATGTGTGTTTAGTCTTTCTGTTTTTATTTATTATTATTTATTTTATTTTATTTTATTTTTTTTAATTTTAATTTTTATTTAATTATTTTTCAAGTCTTTTTGTTTTCAGATGACAGTTATCACCAGTGTTAATGCTTGTTTTTCTTTTCATATGTGATTTTCATATGGACTTTATGTTTTTAGTAGAGAAAAATTGTTTTTGGTCTAATTAAATTAAAAAACTGTGAGTTTAGACTGTTTGTAAAATGTTAACTATAAAACAATAGGCTGATTTGACTTAAAACTATGAGTTGAAGAGAATTATGTTTCTTTGCTCTCTGGACAAAAGAGATTTAGTTTTCTTTCATATTTAGGCATAAATATTATATAATCAAAATTTAAAAAACTTGTAGATTTTCTTACATTTGGTAGTCTTTTTGAAAAACTTACCTTAGAGCAGATATTCTTTCATCCTGAAAATTAGAAAAAAATAGCAGATAGACATTTAAATATGTATCTTCTGATTGGAATTATGGTTTCTCAATTTAGAATAATAGCTTGGAGTTAGGAGTCTTATTTGTGTAGAACAAAAAGACAAGAGCCACCGTAGGCCCTGGCCGTAGCTCAGTTGGTTAGAGCGTCATTCCGATACACCAAGATTGTGGGTTTGATCCCCGGTCAGGGCGCATACAGGGATCAACCAATAAATGCATCAATAAGTGGGACAACAAACCCTTGTTTCTCTTTCTCTCTCCCTTTACCTCTCTCTAAAGTCAATACATAAAAATTAGGAAAAAAAGTGCAGTAGGAGAAAGGGAGGGGTCATGAAACTCTTCTCACTTGAGGCATGACAGGATTTATTTTAAAAAATATTAGAATGTAGCCTCCAACCCCTCCCCAAACACAAGTAGCCAGGGGCCATGTCATTCACAGACTTAGTATTTTAAAAATTAAACCAATAGGTTGAGGGGAACTGTAGTTCATGGCAGGGTCGGCCATCATTTTCTATAAAAGGCCAGGCCATGTGGTCCCGGCTGCAGCAACTGTGCCTTGTGTTGTAGCACAGACACAGCCGAAGACAGTGAGTGTGACTGAATGCTCCTGGCTGCGTCCTGATAAAACTTTATTGACAACAGTGGGCAACAGGCTTTGTCTGGCCAGAGGGTTATAGTTTACCGGCGCCTGGAATATATACTAAACATTATTTTCAATTCGATTCAAGGCCAGTTCCTACAAAAAGACAAACAAGGAAACCTTTGGGGTGGTTTTGAAGACCACTCAGGTCTGTGACTCTGCCTGGAAGAGCTGTGTCTATGGGGGCGAGTCATGCTACTGGATCGCTCGCCACCTCCCATAATCCTTCCATCCTGTGCCCCCAAGTCTGGCTTCAGTCTGCTCTTCTGGCAAAATTCAGTGCTTGCAGTCAGCTCTGCTCCTTCCCAGTACGTTTTCTTCCTGCCGCGGACCCTCTCCAGTTCAGTGGCAGAGGTTGGACTGTCTAGGTAGTGTTGGCGCAGATGGTGGATGGGAGGCGGTACTTTGGCCACATAAGGGACGGTCAGCCACTCTGGCACTTAGTCGTACACTGACTAGTTGTCCATTTCAGAGGAAACACATCAAGATGCGATTTTATGATACGTTTGCAGCAGATACCACTTCTCCTTAATTTATCTTGTTTGTGTATTTGAAAACAATTTCTCATGATAGGTGTGTCATTTTGTTGATCAGATGTCCTTAAAGCCAAGCATATGCTCTCTGTCCCCAGTACTCGCGGGTTTGTGTTTGAGAATTGGCCGGCTTGCTAAGATTCAACCCTGAAAAGTAACCCCCGAATCTGTGCTTGTAGCTCTTTTACCATCATTCGTAGATGAGTGCAGAGCACTGAGACATTTTAGGTGCCTGACATGCTCATCTGTAGCCAAGATAGAGCGGGGTGATGCTCTGCTTGCTGGTTTTAGCTTTCATCCTTTAAATAGGATCCTTCTCTGTGTCCTTCATCAGTCTACTTAGTGCCATGTTTTACGCATTTTTGTGCTTTGGGTTGGCAATTTTGCCTTTTAAAATGGCTCTCAAGCGTAGTGCTGTCTAGCATTGCTAAATGCAAGAAGGCCAGGATGTGCCCTAGGAAATAAACACACGTGTTAGGTAAGCTTCATTCAGGCAACAATTGGAAGACTGCTGACTGTGAGTTCCATGTCAGTGAATCCATAATATATATTATGTAAGGTGTCTTTAAACAGAAGCACAGGTAAAACAAGGGTGTGTGTTCATTGGTTGATGAAAACATGAGCACAGGCTCCTAGGAACCCATCCCCTTAATTTCCTGTAGGAACATTGGCTCAGTTTTCACGAATTCAGGTTAGCAGTGACCTTGTAGAACATGACTGCTGTGAATGATGGGGCTCGAGCGTGTCTCTTTAAGAGTATGATATTCAGACTGTTATTTAGGGAATTTCACGGGGAAGACTTGGAGGCCTCTAACTGTCCTTATATTGTCCAGTCTCTCTGTCCCTTTGCTCTGCACAAGAGAATTCACTGTCATTGCTTCAAAGTCCTTTCCTTACATTAAGTCATTCCCTTCACTGCTAACGGTAATTTTTGTCTTCCTCTTTTCTTGGTGAACTTGGCCATGAATATGGGTTTGGCATCAGATCGTCTCTCACTCTGCCTCATATCGTCCTATATCCCATGTCTCTTCGTCTCAGGATCCCCATGCAGCTGCGAGCAGCTTGAAGGAGATGCAGTATCACTCACATCGCTTACCTTTTCTCTTCTGATTCTTCTTCTGTGCACAAGCATGCTCTAATTTCTCTTATAATAATAATACTTTTCTAGCTGTCATCATCCTGATGTCCCTGCTCTCTTTAATTTCTATTGCCACATTTCTCTTTGGCTTCATTTAGTCATTTTCTACTTCCTTTTAAGCTGGTGCAGTAAATCTTTATGCATAATAAATGCCCAGTCATTTATTAAGATGTAGAAATGCATACTATTACAATGAATAAATCCTAGCTTATTTGAAATTACTCCAAAGCCCAGGCATATTTCCCCCCAATATTATTTTGTGTTAGTTTCCGGTGAGTGGCACCTGAATGGTCAGACCATCACATGCTTCACAAAGTGCTCCCCCCGACAGTTCCAGTACCCACCTGACTCCAAGTTCAAGTGTCTTGGTTTGAATCTCAGTTCTGCTGCTTCTTTCTGTTGTTCCTTGGTAAGGCCACCAAAGCTCTCAGGCTCTTCTTCTTCAGATGGCATGTCATTGTTTACTACCAGGCTGTTGTTATTTCCGGGTGAAACACTGTGTGTGTAGGTGTTGAATGTGTTTGTTAGATTTTGAGTTGGCATTGTAGTATATACTCAAGCGCATCTAATACTCCCCTACACTTATAATTTTACCTTACTCAGTTCAAGGCTTTCCCTGATAAAATGAGGGATTTGAAATTCATGATTTCTAAGGTCCTGACAGTTCTGAGTTTATGCTCTTTTCATTTTTTTTTAACAGGAAAAATTGAGGCCTCTGAAATTGTTCAGTCTCTCCAGATACTAGGTCTGACTATTTCTGAACAGCAAGCAGAGTTGATTCTTCAAAGGTAAGCCCTTCAGCTGATTGACAGCTGAGCTTCTGACTCTTGTCCTCACGCCCTGCACTCCAGAGCCACATGTGCCAGTGTGACGGGAACGCGTCCTGGCCCCTCGCCGTTGCCCCCTGTGCACACTCAGCCTCGTTCCGCCCTTTTCCTCCTTTTCATTTTGTAGGCACGCAGACATCTGAGGTGGGAAGTGAGGGCTCAGACAGGACTCTTTCTTCTTGAACTTTACACTGTGTCATTTTATTTAAGTGCAGTGGGCATACAGTCTTCTTTCAGTTTCAGGTGCACATTATAGGGGTTCAGCATCTTCACACCTCACAGTGTGGCCACCTCACGAATTGTGGTTGCTGTCTGTCAGCACGCAAACTCTTCGCAGTATTATCGACTCGGTTCCCCTCCACCTTGTCACTCACCTTCCACCTGTTCCCTTCTGGCAGCCATCCCTTTAGGCTCTGTTCTTACGAGTTTGTTTCTGTTGTGTTTCGTTTATTTAGATTCCACATGTAAGAGAAAGACGGGACTCTTTCGCAAACCCTTAAGGGGCAGAGAATTGTTCAGGTGTTAAATCCCTAGAGACTTCAGGAGTGTTGGTGTTCAGGTTCCCATTTCATTCCTAATCTGACGGCAGACTTGTTGCTTTAAGGGGAGGAGCCTAGCAGATACTTCAAGTAACTTAACCTACACGTGACTGGATAAGAGGGCAATTCTAACGTTCTTCCAGCTGACTGACAAAGAAATGCCAACATAAACTTTCAGAAAACAGAGGTGCTCATATGAACATTATTTCTCGAGTAATGAGCTCACCTATTTCATTGGTCAGATCTTTACAGACTTGTTTTATTTCACAGGATAGAACAATAATCTCTGAAATCTAAGTGCCTTGAAAACTCTTTCGTTATGAATAGGGAGTAATTTTTTTTCTGACATCAGAAGACAAGAAAGGGTGGTTACATTATATTAATGTTTTTGTGAATGTTTTTGGCCCTCAACATTATCTAAAAAGTTTCTTCTCGGGTTTATTGTAGAGTTCATCTCCTTTTGAGTCTGTGCCTGTGGCATCTTCCCCCATTCTGTGTCTTCTGAACTTGTTTTATAAGCAGCAGCTCGGTAGGACGGCCCAGGTCTTGGAGCTGAGTGTGGGCTCACCCTTGTTCCTGCCGGGGAGAAGGGTTTTCCTGAGGAAATGAAAAGCTAAACCGTAGAAAATAGATAAACAGCCTTTTGACCATGGGATGTGGAACATGCAGTGTTCTGCTTCGAAAGGCATATTCTTCCAGGAAAGTGTGGGCATTTTTGGTTTTTGCTCTTAGGTCGGAAATCATGATCTTGAATGCCTTTTGACAGCTTTAAGAATAATGCAAATGCCAAGCTCAAGCTCTAGAATAGATCACAGGTAATGCAGAGAGAGGGATGGATATTTAAAAGTGGCTACATGAACCCTGGCTGGGTGGTTCGTTTGGTTACAGCATTGTCCCAATATGCCAAGGTTGCATGTTCAATCCTGGCCAGGGCACACGCGAGAATCCACCAATGAATGCATCAATAAGGGGAACAAGAAATTGATGTTTCTCTCTCTCTCTCAGAACAATAAAAAATTTTTTTTGATCATCCCCATTAGGTGATCTCAACTAAAAAATATGGCTATATAATTATTTATATAAATATTATATGACAACTTTATCGATATACAATTCACATACCGTAAAATTTACTCTTTTAAATTGTACAGTTCAGTGAGTTTTAAAGTCTATTCACAGAGTTGTGGCACCATCACTGCTCTCTAATTCTGGGACACTTTGATCACCCGGGCAGTAACCCTGCGCCTGTGGTCAGTCATGCCCCACTCACCCCCTGCCGGGCCCTGGCAGCCACTGACCTTCTGTCTGTACGGGTGTCTCTGTCCTGGACATTTCATATAAATGCGACCATAGAATGTGTGGTCTTGGTGTCTGTTTTTTTTTTTCCTCACTCAGTTGTGGCAGCTAAATTAATATCAAATAAGATCGATTATAAGTAAAACTTAAAAAAAGTTTTGTCAGAGACCAAGATTGTCAGACGAAAGAAAAAGCCAAACAAAAAGAAATCTGGGGTAGCTAAATTATTATCAGATAAGATTATAATGGAAAAATTATAATTTCACACTAATGCAAATAGAGTGTCATCGTATTTTAAAATTCACCACAAAGACATAACATGTTCAAGCTCATTGATTGTTATTCCAGGGATAAACTGACAAATCCGTTGTACCGGTGAGAGATTTCAATGTACATAGTTCTGCATCTGATAGGTCAAATACAGAAAAAACTCAGTCAAGACAGAAAGGATTTGAGAAAATAAGAACCTTGATTTAATGGTCATACAACAGAACCTTGCACCAAAAAATTAGAAAAGATTTTTTTCTTAGATGCATAAAACATGTATAAAAATTGATTTCACAGTAGACCACGAAATGTGGCTTAACGTATTTCAAAAATCGGTATTACAAAGACCACTTTCTTTGATGATTCTGTGTTAGTTTAGAAGTCAGTAACAGAAACAAGTTATGCAAATTCCAGTGGCTTTTGAAGTGACATATACATCTCAGTAATTTATGGGTCAAAGAGGGAATTATATGTGGACATACAGAAATGAAAACGTCACATATTGACTTGTGAGAGATAGCTAAGTGGTACTTAGGGGAACTTTTATAGGCTTAAAGTTTGTACTAGATGAGAGTGAAGGCTGAAAGTTAATGTGCTAAGTTAAGGGGAGAAACCGGAATAATCTTTAAGAAGGTAGAAAGGAGGAGATAAAACAGCAGTGGAAACAGAAAAGCGAAGATACAGTCATGGGAACAATGAAGCCAAATGTTGACCGTCTGGAAGAAGTTTCTGGACAGATGGGTGGAGAAAAGAGAGAAACGACTTACAAATAAATGATGTCCAATCGTATGTAGATGCGTCAAATTTTACAAAGATAGTAAAATACTACAAATAATTTTATGCCAATAAATTTGAGAACATATGAAGTAGAAGAGTTTCTAGAAAAATAGAATTTGCTAAAACTAAATCCAGAAGAAATAGCCAGTAGTTCCTAAATAAAGGTATTGTATCAGGGCTTAAAAATTTCGCCGTTAAAGAAATTTTAGTCCCAGGTGGTTCTTCTAAACAAACTATCAAAGAACAGACCTACAAATAATGGATCTGTTCTAGATGATCACTGCTAATTTTCTTAGCTTAGAGAAAGCTGGAGAAGGAAATTGAGAGTGTTACATCCAAATGTTATAACAGAACATTAGGAAGGACCTTCCCGAGCAGGTGCAGGAAAAAATGGGTCATAAAGCACTCATTGCCGCCTCCCAGTGTTTTGCCTCCCAGGTTTTGTGTTGGACACCTCTCACTGACTCGGAGTTTGTCCGAGTGCTGAAAGTAGTCTTTGGTGAGATCTCTCTGTCGTCCTGGGGCACACTTTTAAAGCAAACAATTAAAACTATGTAACAGACCATCAAGTGTGTGCTGCCATTTCCAGCAACCTACTTTGAATTAGGATTTTGAAAATTCAGTAAGAATATTAAGCTGGAAAAGAAACTGATCCTGCAAAGTAGCTGGTAATGTTAATGTGTAAACTTCGTTGTGTTCTTTAGTTAGCTGCTGCCTTTTTTCTTCTCTTTCTTCTCAGCATTGATGCTGACGGGACAATGACAGTGGACTGGAATGAATGGAGGGACTACTTCTTATTTAATCCTGTCGCAGACATCGAGGAAATTGTCCGTTTCTGGAAACATTCTACTGTAAGCACGCTTTATGTATTCATTTGTACTTACTTGCGACTGTCAGCCGTGGGTAGAGTCAGCGCCTGAGAACACTGTAACATTTACAGCTCAGGGTGCCCAGGGCTCCTGAACTGGTCCAGCTCTGCTTATTCTACTGCACGTGTATCAGATTCTCACAGCGAGGTTGTAAAACTATCACCGTTGTAGAACTTTGTTTCTCTCAGGCTACATTTGTACTCTCACAAGTTTTAGAATAGATTGGAAGGCAGACCATTTCTGCAATACCTCTTGTTAGCTAGATTTTATATAGCCTCTTTTGCATGTTTTAAATGACAGGTCAGATTTATAAAAATACTCATAGATAGTCCATATAGGAAATGAATTTAGGGGTATTCACATACCTAATTTTAATTTAATTTTTATTTACATCCCTAAAGCATCTGTCATGGTACAAAGTATAACATAGATACAATTTCAAGACAAAAGGTGTGTCTTTGGAGAATCAACAGACTCGTTTTTTTTCTCTAGCTAAAAAGAATTAAACTGTTGCCCTTTCACTCAGACTTAGGCCCAGAGGAGACAGTTACTCAGAATCGATCAAGAAAGAGAGTTGTTGATTGCTGGTTTGGTGAATCTGTAAATACTGTTCGCCGTCACCGCGTGCGAACTGGCACCGCACGTGGCGGGAAGCTGCAGTGTTTAGCCCTCCCGGTGCCCAGGCTCCGGGTGCCGGCCTCCCGGGATGAAGCTGATCTGAACTGTAGAATAACACGCTTCTCTGAAACAGGCTTGCCGGAACGATCTGTCTTTAACGGAAGGAACCTGGGGACCCTTTTCTTTCTGTTCACAGGGCATCGACATAGGAGATAGCCTGACTATTCCGGATGAGTTCACGGAAGACGAGAAGAAGTCGGGGCAGTGGTGGAGGCAGCTGCTGGCGGGAGGCATTGCTGGGGCCGTCTCCCGCACCAGCACCGCGCCCTTGGACCGCCTCAAAGTCATGATGCAGGTGAGCTCCCTGACCTCACGTCTGTTTGTCCTGAATACCCTCAGACCACGAGAAATAGGGCACTCCAAAAACGGTTAAAAAGCTCTCCGTGGTAGTCTTTCTTACCTTTAAAAAACATCCATTGTAAGTGCTCTCACCCCTAAATTCAGGCCACGGAAGTATTTCAGTGTGTGGCCAAACCTTGGACCGTTGGCGCGCGTGTGTGATGGACTTTCAGTCTCTGGCATTCTGTGACTGTGCCAGTATTTAATATATCCAGTCATTGTGGCAGGGTTCTCCTTAAATTATTTATATTTATTTATATATTATACATTTTCTCGGCCTCCTGTATGCTATTCTCAAATACATCTTCTTGCAGTACTGGAGAAAAAGAGAGTGGTTTGCACCCTTTCTTTAGAAATAGTAACAATAACACGTCGTCAGTATTTTCTATCATTTTACTTTTGCTTTTAGGTCCATGGTTCAAAATCGGACAAAATGAACATGTACGGCGGCTTCCGGCAGATGGTGAAAGAAGGAGGCATCCGCTCCCTTTGGAGAGGCAACGGCACGAACGTCATCAAAATCGCCCCCGAGACGGCTGTCAAGTTCTGGGCATATGAACAGGTAGCTGCTCTCACTGTGTTGCTGGCGACAGTGTGACTATATGTATCACCTACAGGAACTGTGTTTCTGAGTTGTTAATATTTGTCACTTAGTTAACAGTTTCATTTGTACCAATGAAAATAATCTCCCTTTCCAGAAGAAAAACCACAGGGCAAGTATTCAAAAATTGTGAACCCTTTGCTAAGCCCGTATTCTGTATTTTCTGTGTCTCTGGGGAAGAATGCTGTTCTTCTGTTTGGCAGAACAGCTGGGTCCCCTCTGGCAGCACCTGTGTAAACAGAACAGCTGGGTCCCTGGCAGCACCTGTGTTCTGAGGGGATCTACCCTGAGAACCAGTCTCCAGTAAACTGAACGTGTGAGCACTTAAGCCTCGCTTTCCTGCTAAGCAGCACTAATGCAGTATATCCATTTTGAGAAACATAACAATTTACCATCACACTGTCAGGTCATTGATTTCTAGGAGCCGATTTGTACTGTGATATCGCCTTAGTCAGCTTGGGCGGCTGTAACAACAGTCTGTGGAGCGGGTGGTTGGAACAGCAGAAATTTATTTCTCACAGTTCCGGAGCTGGGAGTCCAACAGGGAGGCGCTGACCCAGCTGATTTTGGTGAGGGCCGTCTTCCTGGCCTGCAGGGGACCGTCCCGGTGCCGTGTGTGCGAATGGCCCTTCCTTGGTGCCTGCATGTGGAGAGAGAGAGAGAGACAGAGAGAGAAAACTCTGATGTTTCTTCTTATAAGGACACTAATCTGGTCACGAGGGCCCCACCCCCGTGACCTCATCTAACCCTAGTTACTGCCCCCAAAGGCCTCCTGTCCAAGTATCTTCACACTGGGGGTTGCAGCTTCGACACAGGAATTTGTGAGTGCGGGCACACAGCTCTGTCCATAGCAAATATTAACGTGCCTTAAAACCTCTTTACACAGTACAAGAAGATGCTTACTGAGGAAGGACAGAAAGTAGGAACCTTTGAGAGGTTTGTCTCCGGTTCCATGGCCGGAGCAACTGCACAGACGTTCATTTACCCCATGGAGGTACGTGCCATCCTGAGGTCTGTCGGCGTTGATGGTTTTTGTGTTCGCGATCCATCGCTGTGTGACAAATATTCTCCAAATGAACATTTAAGACCATGAGGACTTGTTATCTCTCAGTTTCTGTGGCTCAGGAACCTGGGAATGGCCGAGCTGAGGGCCTGTGGCCCCCGGGATTCTCACAGGCTGCTGTCTAGGTGTTGGCCAGGGTGTGGTCACTGCCCTCCTGGCTGTTGGCCGGAGACATTAGTTCCTTATAGCACGGACGTGTGCACAGGCTGCTTGGGTATCCTCCCAGCACGATTTCCCCAGACTGGCGATCTGAGGGGTGGCGGGGGTGCGGGGGGTAGCACTCAGGATGGAAGCTGTGATCTTCAGTTACTTGTGCTGTAAGCTGCCGGTCATGCAGAACACCCCTGGGGGAGTGTGGGAGGGGACTGCACGGGTGTGCATGTCCGGAAGCAGGGATCACTGAGGGCCACCCTCAGGCTGGCTGCCACACTGTTGGTAAGAATGATAACACCTGTTCCTCTCCAAAGAGTTTGGTGCCATAAAGTTCGTAATGGGACTCAGCATTTGATTAGTGATGGTAGTTCTGCCTAGACACTCTTTGATCAGAGCGCAGGTTGGCAAACCGTGGACCTGTGGGCTGTTCTGTAAAGCCCTTGAATTGAGAATAGCGTTTACGCTTTTCAAAGGTGGTTAACCAGCCCCTCTTCCAAACCTCTGTACAACAGAGCCCGGTATTTAAAGCCCACAAAGATTAAAATATGTACCATCTGGCCTTTACAGAAAAAGTTTGCCAACTCCCACGTTAGAGCAGAAATAATACTATAGATGTGTAGATTTTTATTGGTATGACAGTTAGTTTTTTCAATGACCGCTGAGCCCCAGGCGGTATTTGCCGTGTTAATTCACCCTTGTGTTATGCTTACGGCCATAGCTTCCCTTGAAACCATCTTAATGTGCTTGGTCCACACGCCCCTGAAAGCAGCACCCAACGCCCTGCCTGGTGCTCCCCCTTCGCTGCTCATCTCACCCAGTGGCACCACCCGCTCACCTCTCTGCTGGCCCCGCCCTAGAACCGGAGTCACCTCTCACTCTCCCATTTCCCTCCCTGTCTAGCTGGCCACCAGTCCATTTCTAGCGACGTCAGTAGAGTAGCCTTCCCCTATTTCCTGTGCCACTGCCCTCTTTCAGGTCCTCTTTGCAGTAAGTGGGTCCTTTTGGCTCTGGTCCTAGCCCCCTGGGAGAGGTAACGTGTGAGAGAGGACACATGGACACACTGGACAGTCATCCGAGTGACAATATGTGGGAGGTGGTTGTTTTCTGGAATTTCCTGGTGACGGAGCTGACGTGAGCTGCTGTGTTCTGTTCTGCCTTTCCCACCCAGGTTTTGAAAACCAGGCTGGCTGTAGGCAAAACTGGACAGTACTCTGGACTGTTTGACTGTGCCAAGAAGATTTTGAAACGTGAAGGCATGGGAGCTTTTTACAAAGGTTATATTCCCAATTTACTGGGCATCATACCTTACGCAGGTATAGATCTTGCTGTGTATGAGGTGAGTTCATAGTCATCTTTTGAATCTGAAAGTGTAGTTAAGTAGTTCCTACTGTTCATGAAGGAATATGTATATACCAGGGGACAGTTTTTGACCAAAAGTAGATGCAAGGGTGTTATTTTATCTTTTCTTTAAAGTATCTTGAATATGAGATCCCATATGCTTGTGGTCAGTTTTGTATTAGATTTCTCTGCGAATTATTTTTACTAATGAAGAGAGTGAGCTCACTGTCAGATATAGTTGTTCAACTTAGAAGATGGTACTAAGGATTTTTTTGGGGGGGAGGGGAGAGGAAGTAAGCGAACATGACACATTTTCTTTGATTTGTCCATATCCGACTTTGATAAAGCCAAGAGACAGATGCGGGTGGGAGAGTCCCCGCTGGTACAGACCAAACAACCCGGACGAGATCAGCTGTGCCATTTAGGCCACTGAGTGACGGATGAGCCTGGCGGACGTTGAGCACGTACTGCGTGCCGGCTGCTGGCGGGGGGCCCTGTGTCTGCAAATTGGGAAAAGGACACGGTGATGGGCTGGTGGCGAGGGAGACCAGCAGTCCGCTAGGGCACAGTGTGGTCAGTTGTGCGGGGGGGGGGGGCAGTGGCGAGTCTGGACACATTAGGGAGGGACCCCCTACTAGTTGAGGGCAGCGGGGGAGTGCGTGATGAAATCTTTCTGAGAGGGCTTGACCGTTTTTTAAAAACAGCTTTAGGAAGCTGTAACTTGCATAGCATACATCTCATTCATTTAAAGTGTACAGTTCGATGGCTTTTGGTATTTGATGTTAATTTTTTAAAATTGTGGTTTTATGTGTCTGTAACAAAATTTGCCATTTTAACCCTTTTTAAGGGTACCCTTCAGGGACATTAATTACATTTACAGTGTTGTACAGTTATCACCACTATTTCCAAAACTTTATTTAGCACCTGGAACATAAACTCTATTATAACTATTAAGAAATAACTCCCCACTCTCTTCCCCTCAGGCCCTGGTTACCTCTAACCTACTTTCTCTGTGAATCTGCCTGTTCTAGTCATTGTGTATAAGTGGCATTGTATAGTGTCTGTCTGTCCTTTGCCTTTCCTGGCTTACTTCACTTAGCGTGATGTTTTCAAGGCTCATCCATGTGGTGGCCTGTTTGAGCGCTTCATTCCTCTGCACGGCTGAGCAGTGTTCCATTGCACTTTATTTATGCTGCTGTTGATGGGCACTTGGCTTGCTCCCAGACTCTGGCTGTTGTGACTAGTGCTGCAACGAACATGGGATGTGAGTGTCTGAGTCTCTGTTTTCTGTTCCCCTGGGTATGAACCTAGGGGTAGAACTGCTGAGTCAGATGGTGAGGGGCTGCTAAGTGAGTTGAGAAACTGTCCGGCTGCTTCCGCACCAGCCGCGCCCTTTTTCATTCCTGCCAATGGTGGGCAGGAGTTCCTTCCAGTTTCCCTGTGTTCTTGCCAACACTTACTAGTTTCTGGGTTTCGTTTTTTTTTTTTGGGGGGGGGTTGTTTGTTTGTTTATTTTTAAGATAGTGGCCATCCTATGAGGTATGAGGCAATATCTTTGTGCTGTAGATTTTTATTTCTCTGGTGGTGAGTGATGTTGGTCATCTTTCCATGTGCTTACTGTCCACTTATGTATCTGCTTTGGGGAAATGCCCAGCCAAGTCCTTTGCCTATCTGGTTAATGGCTGTTGAATTGTAGGGTGCCTTTAAATAGTCTGGACACGGACCGCCCTCAGGTGTATGGCTGGTACTGTGTTCTCCACTCTGCAGGTTGCCTTTTCGTTCCGTGGATTGTCTCCTTTGCTGCACAGAAGTTTCTAAGCCAGTGAAGTCCACTGTCAATTTTTGCTTTTGTTGCTTGTGCTTTTGGTGTTATATCCAAGAAATACTGCCAGATATTCTCAGGATTTTATCCTTTTTTTCCCCAAGGAGTTTTATAGCATTAGGTCTTACATTTAGGTCTTTAACCCATTTTGAGTTATTTTTTATTTGTGGAGTAAGATAAGGGTCCAGTTTCTTCCACATGTGCATATTCATTTTCCCCAGCACTGTGTGTTGAAGAGACTTTTCGTTCCCTGTGTGCAGTCCTGGCACCGCTGTGGAGGATCCGTCTGGCCACACCGCCGAGAACTCACTTCTCGGTTCTCTGCTTTCTCCCACTGACCTCAGCGTCTGCCCGGTGCCTGCCCCACACTGTCCTGGTGCCACACTGTCCGGGCTGCTGCTGCTGGGAGGCCTCCAACTGAATGCTTCTTTCTCAAGATTATTTTAGCTAATCAGGGCTCCTTGAGCTTCCTTATAAATTTTAGGTGGTTTTCTGTTTCCTCAAATAAATATCATTGGGATTTGAATAGGGGCTGCATTGAGTTCGCAGGTGGCTTTGGGTAGTGTATCAGTATTCTTGGGCTACCATAACAAAGTATAATTTTCCCTGCTTATTGGCATGTATTTTATACTTAAAATATTTATATTTCAAAAGTAGATGAACATACATATTTAATACGACTTCTCTCAATGGAAAGAGCGGGACCTAAAATAACAGGGAAGAAAGCATGGCCTGGGGATCTCTACACTTGATTCTGCACCACTGACCATTGTTTTTTAAAAAAAAAAACGCTGAGACTAATTTTCCTCACTTCTAAAATCAGAAGCATAACTCCATCTCAGAGCTTTGTCAAAGAACTGAATGACATACCATATGTGTCAAGCACAAAATCAGACGCAGTTGGCAGTAGATGTTATTTTTATGAATACTCACTGTAGAAAAGGTTCCTTAGGACCAGCGCTTGGGGTGCTGTGGACCTGGACATTTATTGGGAAGCAAATGGGCCACCAGTGCAGACTTCTTGTGTCTGTGCCCTCGGTGGCTGCCCCATGACTCTGCCACACGGCCACCCCTGGGAGGGTGCCCCCCCTCCCATCCTGCAGAAGGTGGGGGCCCGTGTCCCACAAGGATGAGCGTGGCTGTGAAAATGTCCATGTTGAGTGAAAGCGGTCGTGAACTTAGCTGTTCACCATTTACCTTATTCTCTGTTTCTCTGGCAGCTCTTGAAGGCCCACTGGCTGGAAAATTTTGCCAAAGACTCTGTGAACCCCGGAGTCACGGTGTTGCTGGGGTGCGGCGCCCTGTCCAGCACCTGTGGGCAGCTGGCCAGCTACCCGCTGGCTTTGGTGAGGACGCGCATGCAGGCTCAAGGTGGGTTTTCCATGAAAGAAGGTGCACTCCGTGCTTTTGGAGGTCGCAGAGCTCAACCTCATGTCCGTGATGTCTCCCTGAGGAAACTTCTTAGGAAGCCTTTTCCTGACCAGTCCCTCTTCATGAAACTTTAACGCTGCGGCCACTCTGCATGCGTGCTGTAATCGTGTACCTGTGCTTTATGCCTACATAAAGCAAGGGTCTTTTCACCCGTGTTGAGGACGCACGTTTTAAGAGTCCAGAAGCTTTAGTGTGTAGATGAACGTGGGTTCAGATCCCTATGCACAACCTCTTTGGGTTTTCATTTTCTCATCTGTAAACGGGAACGAAAACTGTGCGGTGTTGTAAGAATTAGCAGCAGTATGTGCAGAACACCTGGCATTTGTCAGCTTCTTGGTGGATGCTGGCGGAATTGCTTATTACTGTGGGACCTACAGCTTCTGACCTGTGAGCCTCTCCCGGTGACACTGTCTCTGCCCTTGACTTTGATTCTGCTGTGCCCTCTTGGCTTTCCTGCCATCTCATCCACAACTCTCTCTTCTATGACTCTCTGGCTTTTACTGCTATATTCAAGTATACTTCCTGTGCCTTTCTTTTCTTTTTTGCTCTTTCCCTGGCCATCATCCTCTGTCATTTCTTTAAACAGTATACCTTAGGCACCTACAGCTCTATCCCCAAGAACAACCACCCCTCCCCTGGCCAAACAGCCCATCCTTGGGTAAGAGCACTTCCTGAGCCCAGTGCTGGACAGCCCACCAGGTGCTTAGGGACCGGTCCCTAAGTCAGAGGCGGTCCCTGCCCTGCCCAGTGGAGAAGACACACATTCCAGCAAATAAACAGCCTCATTAAGCCACCTCCTTTTGGTCAGGGGCACAGAGAGAGGGTCTGTCAGGTAACTTGGGAGCTGGAGAGTGTTGTCCTTTAAGCTGAGCCACAAAGACGTGGGAGTCAGCTGGGCGGGGTGGGCTGGGTGGGAAAGAGAGCGTTGCAGCTGGGGAAGGAGAATGTGAAGGCCCCCACGCACGAGAAGACCGGCTCATTGGAGGGGTGGGAAGACATGCTCTCACTGAACCACCATAACCATCTTTTGGGGGTGATACTAATATTTTCTCCATTTTGCAGATGGGTCGCTGGGGCCAAAAGAGACTAAGTCACTTGGGCAGGTTTATGTGTTTGGTATATAGTAGAGTCGGGCTTCAAACCCAGGCTGTCCAGTTCAAACCATCACCTAGCAAGTCCTCTCCTCCTCTTTGCCGGCTCCACTCAAGTCTCTCGTGTGGCTGGTAGACTTGTTGCTTTTAAAGTCAAGGTCTGATCCTTCGACTCCTGCCAGACATCTGTGTGACTTTTCAGCATCTTCAGAATAAGTTCCAAAGCTCTTAGTGGGAACTGCGAAGCCCATATCATGTGGCCCCACTGAATTTCTTTGCTTCCGCTCAGTGTCCACACGCCTCGCTCGCCCGTGCCCGGTTGCCAGCGGAGTCCCTGCAGCACACGTGTGTTCCTGCCCTGCCTTTGTTGTACCTGCACCTTGGCCCTGCCTCCTTCCTTTCCTGTCTGTTGGGGTCATTTTCAAGGCTCAGGGACCCTACCCTTTTCTCAGCTCCCTGACCAAACTGCTCGCTCTTCGGCACGTGGTTAAGGAGGAGGAGGAAGGGAATCGGCGAGTGTGGGGTGGGAGAAAGGGATGAGTTCTGGAGTCAGAACCACCACCAGCTCCACGCTCTCCTACTTGTTAACTGAGTGTATTAGGATGAGTTTCTCCATCTTTCTGAGCCTCAATTTCTCATTTATAAAATGGGTTTAATAACACATATCTTGGAGGGTGGGTGTATAAAGTAATTAACTCAACATCTACCACATAGTAATCACTCAATAAATAATGGTATTGCCATCATTAAGGAGAATTATATAAAAGGGTGCTTTCTTGGACCCCCTCGGAATAAATTTTATCTTTTCCTTCTGGGTCATTCTGAGTCATAATTAGGTATAGTAATGAGAACAGAACACGCTTGAATATTAAATCAGTCTGGCTTCCTTCTTTATTTCCTAGCCATGGTAGAAGGAACCCAGCAGCTGAACATGGTCGGCCTCTTTCGACGAATCGTTTCCAAAGAAGGCATTCCCGGACTCTACAGAGGCATCACCCCAAACTTCATGAAGGTGCTCCCCGCCGTGGGCATCAGTTACGTGGTTTATGAAAATATGAAACAGACTTTAGGAGTGGCCCAGAAATGACATGTTGAATGTTTTGCTTTTGCCTGATTACTGAGATCTTCTCTAATCTCCAGAGCGACTGTTCCTCCTGGAATGGCCAGCTTCCGGCAAACGAAGCTGCGGTTTTTCACAAAAGGGAAGAGCTTATCAAGCATCACTTCAAACATTTGGGCTCAATTTTATACATACGGACGTGTTTTAAAAAATCATAGTTTTGATACACTCCTACAATTCTGAAGAAGAATCACATCTTATCTCTTCTTATTAGTCCTTTCTACAGATCTCTGCCCTGAATCCTAAATCTGAAAAATGTACCTCCTTGAACTAAATTTGTTTTGTATGGTAGAATGATTTATCTTTAAATCATTCATCTTTATTTTGAACAGTTCAAGTTTATGCCAGTTTCTTTATACTGAAGTCTTCTTAAAAACAACATGATTGGAAAACCTTGAAACTTAAAATTGTTATATATATATATATATATTTTTTTTAATGTCTTTATAAACTTCTCAATATTCCCTCATAGGGCCATCGATCTAATCATTGCATGAAAATACACCTTCCAGCAGGCAAATAAGTAGATTGTTTATGTCCTTATCTTTCTTGAAGCTGAAGAAGAACGAACATAAATGGCTGAATTTCAAGGGATGTAAAAGCTCTAGTCCATCTATACCATTTCTGTGTAAGGAGGATTGATGACATGGGATGTATTTCAGTGGGCTGTTTTGTTTCCCTTGCATCGTTACTTGGTTCCTGGGGTGACACGGTGATTGTGAGTAGATTACTGTTACGTCGCTGGCACAAGGCGACTTCTTTGAGAGATTCTATTTGTCCCGGCATTGCTTCGAAAAGCACCAGGAAACCACTTTTTACTTAACATCAGCCTTTGGGGAGCAGCTCGTTTCTTTGTCCTTTGTTTTCCTACTTGAATCAGACTTTCACCAGGAAGGCTTCCAGAGGCTGTTCTTGGTAACCTGGAGTTTCTTTAATTACCCGAAGTGCGTGGATCACGGGTGAACGGCATTCTCTCACCCCTCACTGTTCCATCCCTTTGAACCCACGATTCTCATGTGGGGCAGCCCAAACCTAGTCTTACATATCAGGTACTTCAATTTAAATGCAAGGCTCAATTTTTAAACACACACACATTCATATTCTTTCTTGCCCCAAGTTTTAGAACATGTTTTTATGATATAGAAGACTTACTTTAAATATTATAGCATGTTTTTATTTTACTGAAGCCATTTTTATAGTTAACTTGTCTTTTCTGATTTATGTGATTGGGACTTAGAAAAATATTTATTAGTTGAAGTTACTCTTACCACTTTTTAAATCTAGTTCCTAAACTTCCGTTTGATTGCTAGCAATTCCTGTTATAAATTGTCAACATTTTAATGGAAATCTAGTGACATAGTAGGCATTTACTTTATTTCAATCTACCTCTTGTATTTTACGAACCAAAGAAGACATGTTGGACTCGTCTTTGTGAAACATATCCCAAAATATGGTTTTCATGATATGAGTTATGCCTGATAGATGCCTCAGTATTTTTGTAATACATGTAATCAGCATGGGACTGTATCTGTAGGGTGGTTTGCACTTGGAGTAACACACGAATGACAATATTAAGGTACATGATTAGCTTTCTTTACTCATAAGAATTATGGTGTGAACAAATGAAGTCTCAAGCTGCTGACGAATCATCACTGTTCATTATGAATTTTAATTGCTGTTTAACATTTGTAAGGAGTGAATGTGATTTATCTGTGCATCTTGTATCTTTTGAACACAATGGTTTTGTATCTTTTGAAAATAGCTGGGAGCTGAAGATAACTGTTTCTGGCATGAACACACACTTTACATGTATATTAAAAATGTGTATATGTTTGTTTTTAAAATGACTTGTTTCCTCATTTTAAAAAATAGTGTAACTAAAGCAAAAAAATGGCTGTCATACTGTTTATATCACTGCCAGTGGTTTGAATAATATTTTTCATATCTGCCTTTGTATAGTTTTAAGAAGTATTTAGGCCTTTCTGAACAGCTTCAGCAGTGTTTGCCTCTAGCACACATTTTGACATAAATGATGTTTTTTGCGATATCCAAAGTCCACATGACTAGTTAGGGTGACACCCCTGGGGGCTCACAGTGCCACCTCTTGGTGGACTATCGGCTTGTCTTGAAGTCATGGGAAACAAAAGCTAAATCTACTGGTCATTTTTAAAGATGTATCATTCATAACTACAAAATTTGATTTTAAAAAATAAAACGTGCCTGAAAAGAAAATTCTGTGTTCCAACTCTACTGCCACCTGGATTCCAGGAATAACATGTACCTTCCTCTGCTCTCAGGAACCCTCTGTTAGAAAAATGCTGCTGGATTTACTTCTTGTCCATTAGTCTTTATTTTCTTTTCTTTTTTCTTTCCTTTCCTTTCCTTTCTTTCCTTCCTCCCTCCCTTCCTTCCTTTCCTCCTTCCTTCCTTCCTTTTAAAGATTTTATTTATTTTTAGAGAGAGGGGAAGGGAGGGAGAAAGGAGAGGAACATCTTTGTGTGATAGGTCAATTGATTGTCTCTTGGAGAATCCAAACTGCAGACCCAGCGTGCAACCCAGGCATGTGCCCTGACTGGGAACCAAACTGGTGACCCTTAGGTTTGCAAGCTGGCACTTAAGCCCCGGAGCCACATCAGCCAGGGCTTACCTTGCAGTCTTGTGTCTACCTCAAGGGAAGAAGCTTGATGTGCACGGATTCGATTTTGTATTATTTTGTTCTTCGATCTTTACATCAGGTCACACATACAAAAGTGTGGCATGGTTTCATTAGCCCCAAACAGGGATTTAGCCAGTCCTGTTCCCATGGATTTTTTTTTTTTTGAGAAAGGCATCAAAGGAGTAATATTTGTGGAGGGGAGCAACCAAGAGCGCTGGGGGGCAGGTGTGGACTGAACTCATTCAGACCACTTTGGAGGAGAGCGCCCCCTGCAGGTTCCATCTGCCTTCCCCCGTGTGTGCTAGACAGAGCCGATCTGGCACAGGAGCTGCCTAAGTGAGGACAGCAGCCCTAAACTGGGGATCCTGGGCTCATTTCTGTACTGGGGGCAGCTGATCTGTTGCTGTGCTCTTTTCTGGCTGCCTGCCCTGCCTCGTCTTAGTTCCCCATCCTGTCCTTGAATTCTTGTCTTGTGTCGTGGTCTGCTTCTGACAGAGCCCAAACTAAGACGCTCCACTACCAACAGAGCTGGATAGAGCAGCAGAAGCATTTTATTTAGAGATTATGCAGAAAAAGACCACAAGGAGCAGCTAGCAGACCTACAAGTAGTTGCCTCCAGGGAACAGGGCGAGAGGTGGGATGGAATCTGGTCCCAGGTACCATCCCACCTCTCGCCAGATATCTATCCCACTCCCAGGGGTGCCTTTAAATAGACATCTGGTCTCTAATATAAACTAAAAGCAACCATTGACAACATAAAAGCAAACTGGAATAATGTGATGAAATAAAAAGGAGAGATATACCTGCACAGATATACCTGCACGGCCCGGCCTGGGCTCTAACTCCTAACCCCTTAACTTTGCCTGAACACAACCATCAGTTTTGAACGACAGCCGTCAGCTGAGATTACTGCATGGATCCAAACAGATGAAAACATTCTCTGGACAGAACATTTAAGAGTAGACCATTAATCATTATGGTGGGGGATTAGTACACTACCACATCCCCCCGCCCCATTGTATAGGAAACGACATGGGTGATTCCCGCAGAAATGAGGTGGGATTTGTTAAATAAAACACTACTTAATGAAGAGAGGAGATTTATACAGGGAGCACTGGGTAGTTTTCATCTACCGGAAGGAACGTCATCTCTGCGTCTTGGGTTTGAATATTGCTTGTTGGGTATTTCCTCGATTGCACACCTCGTTGTGAATGAGAGCCCCGGGCCGGGACTGTGTTTGCAGAAGCAGTTCTCTGTGCCCACGAGGCCCGGGCACCAAGTCACCACCACGGTTGTTTCCCTTACCCACCGTTTCACGACCCACCACTGCAGCGGCCTGCAGGTCAATATTAAATGGAAAATTCATACGAGAACCGTGCTTTTGAAACCCACTTGGTTCTGTGGGGTGTGATGAAATCTCGCGCTTTCTCACAGGACGTGAATCAGCCGGTCATTGGTCAGCGTCTGCACGCTGCGTACGTACGTGCCCCGTTAGATACGCAGCCGGCTTGATTGTGAGTGCGAGGTCGGCTCCAGCGGGGCTTGGGTTCGAGTTACTCTGGTTTTACTTTATAGTCGCCCCACCTGCGAGTGTGTGGACGCTGGCAACTCAGATACGTCAGGGGGAACCCATACCGTGCGTCCTTTAAGGGAGAAAGTGCAGGTTCCCGACGTAAGGCATTTTCTCATCTCACGTCGTTGACGTCGTCATCATCATCATCAGCATCAGAAGAGTAAGTGCAGCACAATATTTTGAGAGAGGTTATATTCATCTCGCTTGTGTTACAGTCCTATTGATGTTGTTAATCTCTTACTATGTGTTTATTTTATACATTGAACTTTCTCATATGGATGTAGATAGAGGAGAAAACAGTAGATAAAAGTTCCATCTGTGGTTTCTTGAGTATGCTGGAGGTCATGGAACGTGACCCCTGCGCGGGAGGACTACCGGACTGTGCTCTCCCTCTACCACTAGGTGGCAGCCTTCTCCCAGCTGTGCGGGCCGCAGCGTTTGGGCTGCGGTGCAGAGCCTCCCGGCTCAGCTTCTCCCTCTCCTTCCACCTTGGAAAATCACCGGCTGTCTCCTCCGGCCTGATTTAGATTTCCTGCATGCACCATCATTACCTTGGTTAGAGAAGGGAAGGTAGGGTCGGCCTGTTGCTATTCCAAGAGAGGAGGAGACAGAAGGCCCTTTCTGTGTAGCACTGGAGAGGCTTGTTTCTATTTTGGGGGGACAACTTTTCAAAAATAGAAAAATTCCGGATTTTACAAGTCAAATTAAGAAACGCCTAAAAACAAATATTACTGGTCATAGGCAGAGTTACAGCTACATGTTCAGATATGAGTACTGACCAGAGAAGGTATTTTGAGATACTGGTTTAGAGTATAACAAATATTTTTTATTTGGTTAAAATATTTTGAGACATGTACTTGTAATTCAGGCCTGAAGTACAAGGGTGGCAAAATAAGTTTAAAAATAAAATAAAACAAACAAGTAATAATGCATCACAAAATTTAGTTCATGCTATTCTCTCTTGGGAATTTTTTTTTTTTTACAAGATGTTGTTATTGATTTGTGTGGTGCTCCCGTTGACATGTTTGTTTTTTAAAAAATACAGTTCAGGTTTCAGATTAAGACAAGCTTGCTCTGGTTCAGCCCTGGAACCATAAACCTCAGAGGAAGACTTTAATGGGAAAATCAGGCAACTCAATCTGTATTTCTGGGTTAAGCCGGAGTACCTTTCAGTTTCGGTGAACAGGTTTTTCACTTAAGTGTTAAATTTTTGTTTCACTCTTATGCTGCCACATATTTGATGGGTATACAATTATGATGTCTATAGGGGATACTTGAGAAATAGGACTATAAATAAACTGCACAGATCCCAGCAAACTCCCATGTTTTGATCAGAGAAAAGTGGAAATGGGACATGAAGAGAAATGTTAGGACCTGACGTGATGGTGCCCACCACCAGGGTCCACCAGCTGCGCACCTGTGGCCCCACTCCCCCACCTGTTGTGCCTCTTCTTCCTCCTTCCTAACACCCACGGCTCCTGGGCTCTGCGTGATCATGCTTTACTTCCCAATCGTTGCTTTCTCGTCATTTGTTCACTTATTAAAAACCTGCAAACTGGTCACCTGTGTGCTACAGCCTGGATGCCTTTGGAGGAAAAAAAATGCAGGAGTTAAAAAAGAGAATCAAGGTGATAAACCTGGCCTTTAAAAATTGTTAAACTCCCGCAATCCTGCGGAAAATGGAGACAAGTTTTTCAGCTCATTTCCCTAAAAATTCACAGAAAAATGTCTGTGCTTGAGAAGAAAGTAAGAGAGGACCCAGAGCTGAAATTTGATGATACTGGATTCAGGCCAAGTTTTAGCCAGTGTTACTGTTACCGAACAGAGGTCCAGGGAGGGGCAACATTTGGCCCACTGAGGGATACCAAAAACTGTTACAGAAAGCAGGGGCCCCTCCGAAGGACTGTATACTAATACCTACTGGGTTCATCTGTCCGCCGCCAATTGGAAAGACATCTCTCAATTCCAGAGATTTGTGAAAAGGAAAGGAAAGGTTTATTTAAAGCTGTACATACTTAAAGTAGTGACCCAATGTCCCCATTAAAATATCAAAGTCCTTTAGGATAACCACAGATGCCCACAGCGCTTCCTTCCCCCCGGCCCTAATTCGGGGTACCTTATCTCAGGAAAAGAGCACACGTCTGTGTTTCAGGCCGCTGGCACCTTCAGCTGTGTCACCATCCAGGCAGGATCTTTAGTTAGTCCAAAGTCATGTGGCACCCTCTCACGGTCCACTGGCAAGAGTTCTCCATACCCATTTTTCCAGGCAAAGTCTCTTCTGCTTCCCAGGCCACATGGCCAAAGGGAGCTCCCCAAAGCCGCGTGGGCCTCTTCTGCCAAAGCTACAGGGGTCTGCACTCTGACCAAAAGTGTGTGGCTTTCTTCCTCACCTGGCTGCAGAGGTCCCCATTTCTGGTGAAGTGCATGGTTCTCTTTCACCTGGGCAAGAGGGGGTCCCAACTCTGCTCGAAACCGCATGGCTCTCTCCTACATGACTGCGGGGGTCCTTACTCTGCCCCAAATGGCATGGTTTTTTCCTTCAATGGCTGCCGCGTCTGCGTTTAAATCCCCACGCCAGTCCTCCTCCCACAATTGGTTACACCTGCCAGGACTCCCATATTATTGCAAGTTTACTGAGCTGCCATTGTGAGTCTGGGCAGGTGTGGCCCCATAGCGTGGAGCCAATCAACTCCAAGCTCCCACACAGGCTCTGTAACACAGGGGACCAGCCCCAGTTATGTCTTGGGTGGAAGTCACTTCCTTCTCCCTGGCTCAAAGCATGGCCACAGCTACTTAACATATTTATGAAACCAGGTAAAGGTTATAGATATGTTAAGTAACCATGCTAGAGGTTAGCTGCAAAGCTGTTGCTATGCAAAATGCTCTCAATGGCCCTGCTCCATTTGTCCCTTCCCCCCAGGGGGGTGGGGTGAAGACATCTTAATATTTCCTGGACACCCTGAGCTCTGGACCCCATCCCAAATCCTTTTCTGGGCC